AGACTAAAGCTGGGGTCCCTGACTTTCAAACCACAAAAGACAACCTTCATAAAAACATCCAACACGCTCCTAACTCTCGTGTTCTTTCACCAGTTTTCACTCACATGTTTTACGTCCTCTGTCACATTTTTACACCCAGAAAGATGAAAAGGAGAGTAAGTTATTTAACCTATATTTCACCTTTTTAAAACATTTATAAAAACACCTCCAAACTTTTCAATACTTTACTGAAACTAAATGTTTTTTTCCAATTACATTCTAAAACTGACTCTATTGTTGTTGCTTCAAAATACAGAAAACCAATAATTTCATAATCACCTCTCCCTCTCTCCCCCTTCTCTCCTCCTCCTCTCCTCCCTCTCTCCCCCCTCTCCCCCCTCTCCCCTCCCCCCCTCCTCCCCCTCTCCCCTTGTCCCACAACCCCAGATCAGCCTCTGTCAGCGCTGGCACAGCTGTGAACATCTGCCTCGCTCTGCTCTGAAATAATTTAGTGGTTTTTATCTTAATCTGACACATTCTGACCGTGATAAAACAGATTCTCCGATGGGACAAAGACATTCAATACAAAACAATATATTCTTGTATAGCCCTAAATCACAATTCAGTCTAATTCTAATTCAGTCTTATTTAAAGAACTTTTGCATTTATAAAACTTATTCCAAGGAAGACATTTATTTTATTTTTTAGATCAAGATCATTTTGCTCATTGTCCAACTGAAAAATCTTGTCGAAATATTTTCAAAGTAAGACATACTTTTTGGCCAATTTTATCAATTTTATCAATTTTTGACTTATTTTGTATCACTTTTTGCAGTTTCTCTCTCTCTCTCTCTTCCTCTCTCTCTCTCTCTCTTCTCTCTCTCTCTCTGCCTCTCTCTCTTTCTCTCTCTCTCTGTCTCTCTCTCTGCCTCGCTCTCGTTCAGTCTCTCTCAGTCTTTCCCAGTCTCTCTTTATCGCTCTGCCTCGCTCTCTCTCTCTGTCTCTCTCTCTCTCTCTCTCTCTCTCCTCTCTCTCTCTGAGGCCTTTCCCGTCTCCATCCACACCATCTCCCACTGCTCTCCTCATTACCCCCACACCTCCGCGGGTCCAGCCCTGTGCCCAAATCCCAGCCCAGATTATGGGTCTGGGCCTGTGGGGACTGGATCAGACGTGGGGGTGGTTGGGGGTGAGTTGGGGGTGAGTTGGGGGTGGCTTTTGGGGAGAAAGCAGACACCGCGGCCGGAGGAAGTCAGAGCTTTATTAATGAGGGCTAAAGATGTCAGAAGGAAAAGAAAAGCTTACTACTGTGTGCCTGATGTTTTGACTTGTTCCGGCCCCGACAAGGTATAAATCTTCTCATCAGTCATCCGCTATTTGTAGGATTCGAACCCATGGCTGACGTCTGAAACAGCTGCCGCACACAGACACAGATGTACTCCTGCTTTAGCTGGGGTACTCTACTTTATTGTTTCATAAATATTACATTAATTATATCATTATGTGGTTTGTCTTTGCAGAAATAGTCTTGTAAAAGTGCCATGTTGTGAGTAAATTCTGTTCCATTCAAGGCCACACTTCAGTTTAGCCCTCACTAATTAACAGATTATTAAGTGATAATTAGTGCAGAATTTATGGTTAATTTGTATTCATAAAGCACTTATTAGTCCTTATTCTACATGTCCTTATTCATCACAAACTGAAACTTTCTCTGTGGTTTAAGGTTAAAGGTAAGGTTCACTAATTATCACTTAATTGTTAATTATGGTTTTTCGAGTTGATATTTAGTTTTTTTAAATTAAATGTATGTTGTAAAAGTTATGTATTGAACTCAGAATAAATCTAAAGTGTAGCTCAATTCTGTGTGTTTTTGTAAAGTCCTAAATCACTAAAGTCCTAGTGGAATTTACAAAGTTGTTGATTTCTTAACGACAGATCAGAGAATAAAACAGGAAATTCAACATTGGTCCTTAGGGGGCGTATGACCACGGTCCATAATAATGTGTTAATATGTCTTCATCATATCAGAAAACATGTTACACATTTTATATTCTTTAAGGAACTTTTTACACTTTTTAGTCTGAAAATGTGATGTGACAAAGGCCATAAATAAACACATGTGACACTAGAGATAGAAAACAAATTGAGAGCTGGGAATTATTATTATCAAAATATTATCTCATCATGTGTGTTTTTTATGAATAATCGCAGCTTTCTTTCTTTACATTAGCGACAATTCTGTCTAATTCACTTCCAATAACGAAACATGTCAAAGATTATGGATATAAGAATACAACTTTTTGGGAATATTTTCAAAATGGAGATATTTGTTTTTGCAAATGAACTAAAAATCCTTGGATCTAAGCAAAGCAAAGACACATCCAGTGAAAGCAGATCTGTGTAAAATAAAAAAATCTGCTTAAATTACCCATAAAAGTCCAGAAATGACATTGAAACTGTTTTTACATGTTTTTTTTTCAGCCTAGAACACACACATTTACTGAACCTTTATAATTGTGAATTTGAAAATACATTTATATAAAAACAGAGAAACCCTAACATCGTGTCCATCAGCAGCGTCGTTCTTTACTCCCTGAAAAGAGGATTCCCTGGATGTAATTATAACTTCAGCCGTTTGGGCGACGACAGAACGATGACTTACTTTGGCAAGATTCAATTTCAAAACATGTGTCTCAATTAGTCTCTGGTTCTGTCTCATTCGGCCCTTTGGAGCGGCTCCTTTCTCTCCACGGACGGAAAACTCCAGAAAACAACATTTGAATAGATTCTACAGGTGTTAAAACTAAAGCGTTTGTTCATGACGGTCAGAACACGGTTTTATACGTCTGTGGGATGTGAATAATGTGGTAAATGTTTAAAATATAGATGGTTCTTTTACATTTATTAACGTTTATTATGGACCTTGGTCAATCTGCTTCTTCTGTGTTTGTTATTATAGCACTTCCTGTGTCAGAACAATTTGATTTTCTGATCTGTTGTTGGCGAATGGACAACTTTGGAAAGTCCTACAAAAATATAACAGCCCCGGCCTTTTTGTGCCTTTTTATATTTATCTGTGTGTGTTTTATTCTGATGTTTTGATTGTGTTTTATCAGCTTGTGTTTGCATGTTTTTAAATGAAAAAAAAAAAAAAAAATAATAATATTGAAATGAACATCAAATTATTCTTTTTTTCAATAGATTTTTCTGCATTTAATTGTTTGCAGAAAAATAGGAGTTTCTGTCTGAAAGGCCGGGGCGACTTTTGCAGTAAATACAGAAAATCAGAGCTAATATTTTTCTCATGTCTGTATTTTGAGATTAGCAAATAAAATAAATACATATAATTTATTCATTTATCTGTGTAGTAAATGTTTCATGTTAAAATAGATTCTCATCATTTTCTACAGAAGCTACAGAAATGTTTCATTTGTCTCATGGCCTGGACCCAGAAAGTGGCCTTTACAGTTATATCACTTTGAATTTGTCTGAATAATGAATGTACAAAATATATATTTACACATTAAACATTTTGTTTCCTGTATCTTTATATTTTTCAGTTTGTTTAAGAGTCGGGAGTTTTTCTGCCAAATATTACACGGATCAGGCCTTTTACAAAACGCCTGAAATTTGTGTTTATAGAGTTTCTGTCCATGAGGCCTGATCCGCACCGAGAGATACTGGTAGACCATTTACCGTCTCTCTCTCTCTCTCTCCCTCCCCCCTTCTCTCTCTCTCTCCTCTCTCTGCCTCTGTTATCTTCAGACACATTCTCAGTTATCAGTAGATTCTAGAACACTGTGTCATGACGAGTGAGGAATGTGTGTAGACTAAAGTGAAGAGTTAATCACATTTAGTCTAAAATCCCAAGAATAACACACACGCACTATACACACACACACACACACACACACACACACACACACACACACACACACACACACACACGCCGCACAAACGCACGCACGCACACGCACGCGCACGCACTTAGCAACTGTTTATTTGAAACTAACTTGGGTCAGGATTACAGAGGCGTCAGTGTGTTTGTGTGTGGTGCAATACTGCCCCCTGCTGACTATTATACGGTCATGTGAATAGACCATGTTATACTTTAAACTATAATGCGTAACATAAGCTCTGAGAAGAAACAAGATATATCCATAACAATATAAGGTAAATGTGTGTATTGTGCAAAATAATCTAGACTTTCTGTATCCATTTGTAGATACATCTGTAATACTCTCTTTTGACGTCATAATAATGCATAGGTTTTATATAGCGCTTTTTTGGACACTCAAAGACGCTTCACATGTGTCATTATTCATTCACTCCATACACGGTGGTGATAAACTACTAATGTAGCCACAGCTGCCCTGGGGCACACTGACAGAAGCGAGGCAACCAGTATGCGCCATCGGCCCCTCCGACCACCACCAATCATTCATACACACACCAGACTCATTCTAGGCAATGGGGGTGAAGTGTCTTGCCTAAGGACACAACGGCACTTGGCACAGCCGCAGCCGCCCCACTGTGGCTGGTGTTCCCAGAGGTTAAGTGTCTTGCCAAGGACACAACGACAGTAGTCAGTGGGAGTCGATGGTGAAAGTCTTGAGCGGGGCTTGAACCCACGACCTTCTGGCTCAAAGGCCAACGCTCTACCAACTGAGCTACTGCCGCCTAATGGAAGAAGAGATGCATTCATTATTGTTTAAAAGTAAAGTTTCTTTTTGCACTGTTAATATTTTACTCTATAAATGATACATATGTTAAAAATGTAGTTGTATTTTGTACAAATGTAAAATATTTTTAACACCATTAAAAATAAACCATTTAAAGTTTATTTTAAGAACACATTATTAATATCTGTTTTCTAATGGCATTCTGTAAAATCGTCTTCTTGTGTCATTGCATTGAATACAAAAAATATTTAAAATTTATCTGATGACTAAACTACATTTCCCATGAACGCTTAAGCGCAGTTGAAATCACACGTACATCGTTCTACTTACGTAAAAACAAAGATGGCGGCGGTCGGAGCGGCGCGGCGTCTGTTCTGCAGCTTTTCTCAAGTCAAACATGTTCAACAGAAGAAGCTGGTTCCGTTCAGACCCAGAGTCCGCGGCCTGTGTTCGGACCCGGAGGTCTGCGGTGAGTTTCTGTTTCATTCTCAGAGCTTTGGCTTCGAACCTATGTCTGCGCTGACCTTGTGGGTTCAGAGCCACTGGCTTCATCACAAGCTTCATCACATGGTGCGATTTATTCTCCATTTATAGTGAAAGTTGATTGAAACCTTTATGCACAAGCGTAAGGTGTCTTGCCCAATAACACATCAGCTGCGTGTGTGCACAGATCGAACCACTGTCAGTATTAGTCCGTGGTATAATGTTCTACACCAGAGTAGTGTATTTAATATACGGTAATAATAATTGATAATGCAACCAGACTCATTTTAATGTGGGTGAAGTGTCTTGCCTAAGGACACAACCACAGTTTTGCACTTTACAGCCGCAGCCGCCCCACTGTGGCACCCGCTGTTCCCAGAGGTCTCTCATCACAGTACTAACCAGGCCCTGCCCTGCTTAGCTTCAAAGATCTGACAGGTGGTGCCGAAAATGGTATTAAAGAACGGTTTGAATTGCATTAATGTCCAGATGGTCATGTTTTTCTAGTGTAACTCAGAATTAAAACTTTTCTTCATTATATTTGAAAGAATAGTGAAACATATAAAATGCTCCTTAAGGCGTTGCAGCCCGACCTGTATTGGTTCTGTGTCATTAGGAGCAGAGAGTGAGGGTGATGTCTGCACTGAGTCTGTGTGTGAGTCTCAATACTTCATACATGACTGTGTTCACGTGTCAGTTATAGTATCTGGACTTTAAAAGGTTATAACTTAAAAACATTCGTCAAAGCATCAGGTCCTTTGCATAAAATAAATAGTTACTAAAGGAAACTTGACTAATTTATAATATAGTTATGTTCTAGCAACTTCTATTGGACAGAGGAGGTGTTTGGAAACATGAAAAACATACATATTTTCTGATTATTAAAATCTAATCTTTGGCCTCTGTCACACTTTCGTACACTTTACTGTGAACAAACCTATAATAATATACATAATATTATGTGTGTGAACTGTGTGGTAAATTCCATCATGTATTACCCTTAGATCTCCTTGCTTCCTTCTGTCCGCAGCTCATTCTCCCGACACGAGGCCTCAGTTTTCTGATGCCGCGGTGCAGGACATCCTGAGGAGAATCACAGGCGTGGACTTAGAGAAAGTGTTCAGACCGATGAAACAGGAGCGTAACCTGCCGGAATACAAACTCATGACCGACCAGCAACTAGACCAGGTCAGAACACAGCACTACACACTCACTGCGGCGGGAATAGATTAATAATAATAATGCATCGGTTTTATATAGCGCTTTTTTGGACACTCAAAGACGCTTTACATGTGTCATTATTCATTCACTCCAAACACGGTGGTGATAAACTATTAATGTAGCCACAGCTGCCCTGGGGCACACTGACAGAAGCGAGGCAACCAGTATGTGCCATCGGCCCCTCCGACCACCACCAACCATTCACACACACACCAGACTCATTCTAGGCAATGGGGGTGAAGTGTCTTGCCTAAGGACACAACAGCAGTTTGGCACTTCACAGCCGCAGCCGCCCCACTGTGGCTGGTGTTCCCAGAGGTTAAGTGTCTTGCCAAGGACACAACGACAGTAGTCAGTGGGAGTCGATGGTGAAAGTCTTGAGCGGGGCTTGAACCCACGACCTTCTGGCTCAAAGGCCAACGCTCTACCAACTGAGCTACTGCCGCCCCAGATTAAGATGAAGATGAAGAGGTTTTTATTCTCACAGCGAGGAAATGTCAGTGTTGCATCAGTTACAGAACAGGAGAATGAGGAGCACAAGAGACATGAACACAGCGCGATACTAAACTCTACTAAATAAGATAAAATAAAAGAAGATCTCTAGCTTTAGCATCAGAATCAGAATCATTTTTATTGCCACGTAAGTAACAGGAAGTCACAGACTTGGAAATTGCTTTGGCTCAGTGCAACAGTCAGAAAGAGATAATAAAAAAATAAAGAATAAAAAACACTTCTAAGGAATAAATTTAAATTTAAAATAGAGTTACAGTTACTATTTACAATATACAAGTGCACATGGTGCACACAATGTAAGGTGACAGCAGTACAGTGAAGTAAAGTGACGTATGATGGGCAGTAAAGTGACTTTATAAAGGGCGGGGGGACAGGTTAAGAAGTGTTCAAGAGTCCAACAGCAGAGGGGAAGAAACTGTTCTTGTGGCGGGAGATTCTAGTCCTGATGGACCGCAGTCTCCTGCCTGAGGGGAGTGGTTGGAATAGTCCATGTGCAGGGTGAGAGGGGTCGGCTGTGATACGACCAGCCCGGCCTCGAGCTCGGGCGACGTACAGGTCCTGCAGCGATGGAAGGCTGCGGCCGATCACTTCCTCTGCAGAGCGCACAATGCACTGTAGTCTCTGTTTGTCCCTGACTGTGGCTCCAGCGAACCACACGGTGACGGAGGAGGTGAGGATTAGGGATGTAAATCGGCGACCGTTTAACCGGTGGTTGACCGTCACAGCGTTAACCGGTCAAAGCTGTCGGTTAAAAAAGAGAAAAAGGGGAGAGGGGAGGTCTCTTAATAACGCTATTTTAAGCCCTATTTGCACGATGTGACGAGCGGGTCTGTATCTAGCTGTATGCGCCCATGTATTATAAACTCCGGGACGACTCTCACGCCGCACGAGCCACATATGCACACACGCGCACACACGCACACACACACAGTTTCCCCCTCTCCATACGTAACATCCACACGCATCATCTCTCCCCTCTGTTACCGTCAAAGTTGCGCACTGGCGCGGGTCAGACCTACATTGGAGCTTACATTTACACACACACACACATATACATACACACACACATACCGGTCTGTCGCGCTCCTCTGTGTCACGGAGCCCAAAGGATTCGCGCAAATACGCGGCTCCAGTCAAACCACATGGAACATGTTTGTGTTTATGGTCCTCGGGATCAGCTCCACACACATCACTTGTATTTAAACTTTTGTGAAGACCTGTGAGACGCGTCACTCGCTGCTCTGACCATGTGAACGAGCCGTCGTTTGCTGCTAGAAAGTTTTGGTATATTAACCCGCAGCACAGCAGAATGGGAAGATTAAAAAAGCAGTTCACTGTGCGCAAAGGTGCCGGAGCTGTTGTGGGTTTTGGCGCCGCTGTCTCAACTCTGATCCAGTAGAACGCAGAGCTGCACTTATGAAAAGTACGCGGCTCGAAATGGCTGTTATTTCAAAGAACGTGGACTATTTTAAACTACGCGGTTAACCGGTTTCAACCGGTTAATGAGGCTCGGTGGTCGGTCATGAAAATTCATAGTTTTTTACATCCCTAGTGAGGATGGACTCGATGATGGCCGTGTAGAACTGCACCAACATCTGTGCAGGCAGCTTGGCTTTCCTGAGCTGCCGCAGAAGTACATCCTCTGCTGGGCCTTCTTGATGAGGAGCTGATGGTCGGCTCCCACTTGAGGTCCTGGGTGATGGTGGTGCCCAGGAAACGATAGGACTCCACAAAGGTGATGGGGGAGTCCATCACGGAGGGTGGGAGCGGGGGGATAATAAGGAAGCGGTCTATAATCTGTAATAAGATGCAAAAATTATGTACAAAAGTAACAAAGGCCAAAGATAGTAAAAATCCAACATGGTACGATTCATATGATTTTATTTCTATCTTGTTTTGTTCAGACTTTGAGATTCCTTTTGTATGAACTATAGCTGTGTCTTTAACTGTAGTAGACATGGAAGGCTCTAAAATATAAACAGACTTTTTCAAATTTTCCCAGAATTGAACCCATAATTTCAACATGGGTCAAATAACATGTTCTTTTGTGAGGGCTGTTGTTTGCTGTCTCTAATATTTGATATTTTCAAACGATATTGGCGATGGCTGAGTGGTTAGCTCTCTCAGCCAGAAGGTTCTACTCTGTCATTTCCTGTGTTTCCTCGAAGGCCATGAAAGCAGCGGCGGAGCAGGCGAACCGTGTCCTGCAGATGCCTCCGGTTCTGTCCGAGCGAAAACCCATCCATGACGTGCTGTCGGAGGACCCGGTTCTGGACGGAATGGACACGGCTAAATATCTGTTCACGGACATCACTTTCAACGTACCACACCGGGTGAACACCGCCTTTATCAGGGTTTTCGGGTCTGTGTAGGACAGATATAGGAATTTAATGAATACTTTATTTTGAGCCGTGGCAAACAAGAATATAGAACAACAGAATAGAAAAATAACTAGGGCTGTCAAAATTATCGCGTTAACTCACGTTAAATACATTTTTCATTAACGCGTAAACTTTTTTAAAACGTATTAACGCATGTCCGAATGACCCGCCCATTTATCCATAATATCACTCAGAATGCAGCGGACTCATGTGTTTGTGAGATGACAACAGAGCAGGTAGGCCCTCTGGGAATTCAAGTTTTAAAAGTATACACGCGTGACCGCGGGGCTGTTTGCTGTGAACTGAAGTCCGCCCCCCGGGGTGTGCCCGGGCCACTCTGGGTGTTGTTAGCGAACCAGAGCGAATGGCGCCACGGTCAGACCATACACGCACAGAACTACTGCATGTTGTGTGCTTGTCTTTAAAACCTGTGCGTAACCTATGCACGCAAATACACTGCAAAAGTGTCCGTGTCTCCTCCTGAAACTAAACTCACTAAATTAAAGCTGGGGTACGTAAATTTCCCCCTTTCATTAACAGATCATTTTGGTAAACGGTTGTGAGCAAATCTAACAGATTTAAGTACATTTGGTTTGAATGACATGTGCCATTACATTTGATGATCTCATTTAACTTCAATTGGAGTGGATTTGAAATAGAATGTTAAAAATGCGATTAATCGTGAGTTAACTCACCATTACTATGCGATTAATCAACTAAACATTTTTATTGTTTGACAGCCGTAAAAATAACACATGAATATATACAAATGTACAGTATGTTTCGTTTTATTAACAAAGAATCAGCTGAAAAAGAGTGAGAAGAACCAAGACATTAGTGAAACAGTGAGACTGGGACAAAACACACTTAGGTAGATTTTGCATAAAATCTATTTTTTTATCTTATTTGAGTTTATTATTACTGTGTTAAAACCAGATTCTCCACTGGGACAAAGACATTTAGTCTGATTTCATGAACTGTTGCTGTATTTCCTCATTCCAAAGAAGACATTTTTGTATCTTTTTTAAAACAAGATCATTTTGCTTTGTCCCATTGGTAAATATAGTTTTAAGGCTCAGTCAGAATGAGCTTAAATTTAGACACATTTAGCAAAATTTTAGAAATTTTTGGTACATTTTTCACCACTTTTTGCAGTATTTGATTCACACTAATACATTTATCTTCTTAAATATTTGTCTTTCAGCGCGAGTTTTTCAGATGAAACAGACAAAAGGTGAAGCTGAAACTAAGAGATGCTGGACCAATAAAAACAATGAAATAAATATTTAAAAGCAATAAAAAACGTAGGGAAACATTTGTGGGAATCCGGGTCACAGTCCAGACCTGGATTCAACTCGAAGGTTAAATCTCACCAATAAAATAATGTATTTAATGTAATATAAACATCACTATTATTGACAAATCATCATCATCAAACTTTATCCCAGACTCAGAATAAGACACAAAAACAACAAAATCGTTAATTTCATTTAATATAATTGTTTTGCTGCTTGTTGGGACTTTATGGCTTTAATTAAATCCAAAAGGAAATAATCTCACTTCTGGGTGTATTTTATTAAATGTTGCGTGTGTGACGTGTGTTCTCTGGTCCCAGGAGCGGTTCATCGTGGTCCGGGAGCCGAGCGGGACTCTGAGGAAGGCAACGTGGGACGAGAGGGACCGGCTCGTCCAGGTCTACTTCCCCAAAGAGGGCCGCAAACTCACACCACCGCTCATTTTCAAAGAGGAGAACATGAAGGTGAAGGAGAGAAGAGTGAGACCCCACAGACTCTGCTCTCTTTATTTATGTACACATCAGAATCAGAATCATTTTTATTGCCACGTAAGTAACAGGAAGTCACAGAGTTGGAAATTGCTTTGGCTCAGTGCAACAGTCAGAAAGAGAGGTAAGGGTAGAGAGGGCATAATAAAAAATAAAAATAAAAAGCACTTGTAAGGAATAAATTTAAAATAGAGTTACAGTTACTATATACAATATACAGTGCACATGGTGCACACAATGTAAGGTGACAGCAGTACAGTGAAGTAAAGTGACGTATGATGGGCAGTAAAGTGACTTTATAAAGGGCGGGGGACAGGTTAAGAAGTGTTCAAGAGTCCAACAGCAGAGGGGAAGAAACTGTTCTTGTGGCGGGAGGTTCTAGTCCTGATGGACCGCAGTCTCCTGCCTGAGGGGAGTGTTTGGAATAGTCCATGTGCAGGTGAGAGGGGAGTGTTTGGAATAGTCCATGTGCAGGGTGAGAGGGGTCAGCAGCGGGGTCATACTTGTACCAAAGCACTTACATACACACACAGGCATACATACATATAAATATACACACACATACTCACAGGCCCACATACATACACAGGCATATATACAGTGGTGCAAAAAAGTATTTAGTCAGCCACCGATTGTGCAAGTTCTCCCACTTACAATAATGAGAGGTCTTTAATTTTCATCATACGTACATATACATATACAGGCATACATACATATACTCACACATACAGTCATATATACATATACATAAATATACATCTACATACACGCATACACATACATACATACGTACATACATATATACTGTATATATATACACACACAGGGTGAATGGTTGGGATCATATTTATTTATATATCACCTTTCTCGTACCACAGTCACAAAGAGCTTTCCTATTGTGGGCATTTGTCTCGAGCGAGGTCACCAATGCAGGCACATACCAGACCTAGTATTACACATGTTTTTAGTGGTAGGGGAAACGGGAGTACCCGGAGGAAACTTAAGCAGACACGGGGAGAACATGCAAACTCCACTCAGAAGTCTGTTGTCACACTGTGTGCACTATGTCCACACCACTGTCTCAGCTCACGTAATCTTTGGCTTTAGTCCATAGCCCGACTTCATTCCTCACACAGTTGTCCAATAATACTGCTGCTTGTTCCATAGAGAGTCACCTGTGCAAACTGATCCAAATCTAACCCTTTAGGGAATAAAAACTTAAACATTTCTTAACCTTCGATAGATTAGATTAGATTCATCTTTGTCGTTAGTCTCAGAACAATGCAACAGAATGTAGTTTAAACCAGTTCTGCAATAGTGAAAGTATAGGATCATATTTACAACAGATAGATATATATATAATAGATTATAAATTATATATATATTTATTATAAATTATAGATTATATATATATATATATATATAAACAGCCACACCCTCTGCATCCTCTGTCCTCGTTCTACAGTCTGACTCCTGGATCTACAGCCCGTCCATCAATATGTGCCTTTCCGAGGTTTCTCACTTTCTCCCACTGGGCCTTTTCTTTGATTTTCTCCTCTCTGATGCAGGAGGGTCTAAGGACAGAGATGATCCAGGACACTCCAGGCTAACAACATGTATGGACTCTTTATGGACCACTCTACGATGTTTGTTCATTGTATTTGTGTGTTTCCAGATGGTTTTCTCCCAGGATCGACACGAAGATATCTTGAATCTATGTCTCGTCCAATTTGAACCAGACTCGTCACATTATATCAGGGTAAATTATCTTTAACTGAGAATGTGAATGTACTGTTTTATCTGCTTTGTGACGAGAATGAGACGAGGTTGGAGTCAATTAAATTGTATTTTCTGTGGTACGCAAACCAGGCCCACCCTAGATATCAGACACAAATATATAAAAAGCAATCTGTATTTATGGCCCTGGAGAAAGTCGGTAGTGTTAAGTTTATATTCTTGGAAACAAAAATAGTTGAACACTTCAAAACAAGTGTAGAGAAACATAACTACACTTTCCCTTCACAAAAATTACATTGTGTTTGTCTGAACGGTCTTTGTAAACTAATCAGACCACAATATATTGATTTTGAAATGTGAGAGAGCCTTTTGAGTCACCTTTAAAGTGATGGTCTGCAGTTTTTCAGAGAGACAGAGAGGTACTTGATTTGAAAAAAAAAAAACAATGCAAGCTCCCTCCCCTTTCCTTTCTGATTGGTCTACACCTATGTTTCCGTAACACTTTGAAATGTTAATCAGAGAACACATTAGACATATACATTATTAATACACATGCACGGAGGTTTTCAGAATTATTTGTGAACGTTTTAATGAAAAAAATGTTTTTATGCACAAAACCAGGAAGTACTATTATCATGAATTGCACATTAAAGGACACCTCTGCAGAGGATCTGATTATGGATATAGGTTCAGTATATAAATGGGTAACTCAGCGCGGATGTTCAGAATTCTTTGTTCAGTTTTCATGTAGTGCAGAGCCTAATAGAGGCTTGATTCGGAGGCTCCGCGAAAACAAATAACTGAGCATGCGCGTAGCTGCGAACATCAGCGCCGATGATTGACAGCCCTTGGCATGACTCGATTGGTTAACCTTGACGGCACCGTGGATTCTGAGCTATAGCTAAGAGCAGGGAAGGCGGGACTTGCCCGTAATATTCGAATTAATAAAATTACTTATTTTATATCAACATTTAAGGCCAATTAAATGTTTAACACATTTCAGGTCAATTTAACACATTTCCTAAAATTTGTAATTCATTTAGAGTTACAGACTATCACTTTAAACACTTGAGATCTGATTGGCTGAAGGAGGGTGGTCCTCTCTATATTATTTTTTAAGTCTGAAAAAGGCCAAAAAATGCAAAAACTATTGAAAGTGATATTATAGTTCCATTTTCTGTGTTGTGAAAGTTGGGTACCCGAGCTTTAAGTCACAGTTGCATTTGTTTATTGGTCAGTAATAATCCGTGTGCAACCCTCGGGTCAAAATTACCCAAAACAATGATGACAAGTAGAAGAAAAATACCTTAAATTCTGAGTCTAACTGACCCAGGGCTGGTCCAGTTTGGAAAAATCATCAACATTCAGCTTGGAAAAACATTTTTAAATCACTGTGGGATTGACCAGAGGGAAACACATGGTTTTTAAATGTTGGTTCCTCCTTTAGGTCCACGCTGCAGTCTACGAGGACCTGGAGAAACACGGGAAGTACGACCTTCTGCGATCCACGCGACACTTCGGGGGTTTGGCCTGGTACTTGGTGAACGCTCGGAGAGTGGACGGTCTCATCGTGGACATGCTCAAGAGAGAACTGTGAGTCTGGGTCTGGGTCTGAATCTCTGTCTCTCCCCTGGTCCTCACCTGGTCTCTCCCCTGGTCCTCAGGCTACAGGAGGCGGTGTGTCTGGTGTCTCTGTTCCACATGGTCCATAGTCACAGTGAGTCTGCTCTGGAGGCGGCGCAGCAGGAGGCGACGGGCGTCGAGCTGCTCAAGGTGAATGTCATCATTAAAAACACACAAAGAAAAGTCAAAACAAAATCTTTGATTCTAAGGATCCAAACTTTAATCTTGAATCGTCTTTGTGAGTTTGAGGACGTCTCGGTTTAGAAACAGTTTTATTTTATCTTTTTCCTCTTGTGCTTTGATCCGGGTCTGCTCAAGAGTTCACCTTGAGTCCAGGTCTAAGGTTCCTCAGAGTCCGGGATCATTCTGGGGTCACATCCGTTTCTGTTAACTTCCTCAAACCCAGAACCGTCCGAGACTCATTCGAACTGACGACCGTTTAATCTGAAACGTTAGCGGCGAAAATCACATTCAGAACGACCTCCGCCGTCACGCCGCAGCAGCGCTTTGGTCACGGCAGAGTGTGGGGGTGCGATTCTCAAATATCACATTAACACTTAATTAACGAAGGGTTCCAAGACTTATGAGTCCAATCAGCACTGACCCGGGAGTAACTGTGCAAACTAGACCTAAAACTGGGTCTGGACCTGAATCTGGTCTAAAAGAAGTCTACCAGAGATGGACTGGGACCTGGAGACTAATTCTTCATTCATTTTGTCTTACTGTGAGTAATGTGCCAAAATACACCTCCTGTAAACGTCTGTTTTGAGATTTATTTCCAGCTCTAAACAGGAATGTACCATTAAAATATAAAAAAAACTATTATTGTGGTTAAAATTGATTCTCTTAAGTATCGCAATATTCTTCACGCATGCAATTAAAATCTGAATATTTTTGAATCGTCACATTTTTGCCAATTCCCAGCCCAAGTATAGTTAGTTTTACCAAAATAAATCTAATGCTTTCATCCACATGAAGACCAAATACTTTGATCTTCATGTGGAGACAATTTTTACGCCAGATAAAATTATGCGTTTCCAAAGACGGATGACAAAGAATAATCAAAGTGTTTTTCTTTGATAATAAACCTGTTGTTGTTTGGATCTCTCACCTTTGACCCTTCGTTCTCTCAGATCTATGCCCAGAAAGAGTCCCAGAGTTCGGGCTTCATCGAGCTGGCTCTGCAGGCGTTTGAACCATCGGCCGAGCAGAGCACCACCGCCTGATCCTGGTCCGCTCTGATCCCAGTGTAACGACGGTTTGCACTGCCTTGAAGAGATGCACTGCCTTGAAGAGATGCACTGCCTCAGCTGTTTATGATGTAATGCAAACCTGTGCATGCGCGTCTCACGGCAGCCGAAGCAAACTAATTTGGCGGACCGTGAATTGCTTTAAACGTTAAAATACGAACTAATTAAGACATGAATGTCACTTTTAATGCAATTTTAGGCGAGATGTTGATGGTTCCGTTTTGTCACATGTGGGTTTTAAGAGTCAAAGTTTTGTGCAAAGTTTAGTTTAAGCAGTCAACTGGGCCTGTGAAACCACACTGCTAATGTTATAGCAGTCCCCGGCTGCTGACATAGGCTGATGACGCGTCCTGTGGCAACTCTACAACTTTCAACTGGTCTGTCGGGTTGATAATGGAAATAATACATTCAATTTAATGCATGTATCGTACTGTATTCAATATGATTAACAATAGTGTGTTCAAACGAAATATTTAATTAGAGTTTTTCCCCATTTTCATTATCAACCCGACAGACCAGTTGTAAGCTGTAGAGTTGCCACAGGACGCGTCATCAGCCTACGTCAGCAGCCACAGACTGCTATAACATTAGCATTGTGGTTTCACAGGCGCAGTTGACTGCTTAAACTAAACTTTACACGAAACTTTGACTCTTAAAACCCACATCTCGCCTCAAATAGCATTAAAAGTGACATTTGTGTCTTAATTCGTTCGTATTTTAACTTTTAAAGCAATTCATGGTCCGCCATCTTGGTTTGCTTCGGTTTGCAGTGCAAACAGTCGTTACACCGGTCCGCTCTGACCCTGGTCCACTCTACTCTGGCCCCGGTCCGCTCTGGCAGAAACATGAACTGTGTGAAACTGTAACGTTATGTAAAGATGATTCTAAGTTGTTCCTGTTACTCTGTAAATATTAAATCAAATGACTTTATACAAACTGAGGTCAAGTTGTTTTAATGAGACAATTTTTTTATGTTCATGGGTAATTTGTATCAACACATTTATGCAAAACAGTAAAATGTCATTGGTATTTAAAATTGCTGACTATATATTTTTGAAAGCATTTGTTTTTATATATTGCACTTTTCTGGACTCTGTCTCTTCACATTCTCACTCCAAAAACGGACGTGATAAATTACTACTGTAGCCACAGCTGCCCTGGGGCACACTGACAGAAGCGAGGCAACCAGTCTGTGCCATCAGCCCCTCTCACCACAATCATTCAAACATACACAAGACTCATTCTAATGTGGGGGGAGTGTCTTGCCTAAGGACACAACCAGTTTGGCACTTTACAGCCGCCCCACTGTGGCACCTGCTGTTCCCAGAGGTCTCCCATCACAGCACTAACCAGGCCCTGCCCTGCTTAGCCCTCAGAGATCTGACAAAATCTTGCCTTCACCTGCAGGGGGCGCCATAGTTTTAATAACCCTCTTTCTTTAGTCTAACTGCAAATGTCTTGTCATTTAGATGAGGGTCATAGGTGGGTCTTGGTCTTTTGCCAAAGTGTGTGTGTGTCAGGTTTGTGATTTTTTTTTTGGAGGGTATTGTAGGGTTTTGACTTTTTTTTGTATCGTATGTGTTTGAATGTCTGGGAATGGTTTGGATTCAAATACAATTTTTGCTTCGACACTCGATCCCTTTTCAAACCGTTGGTTCAAGAAAGCTGAGGACCTCATTTTCAAACCACAAAACAATCTAGTTCCTCGCCTCAAAACATTTTGGTCCAATCCTTCATTTCAAATATATGTTTTTCAGCCTTAGTCACTTCTTTAAAAACAGTTTTCAGACAAAAAAGTGAAAATTAGTTCTGCCCAAAAAGTCAAATAGTGACTCTGAGGGAAACAAATGTTTTTCTACTAAGACTAAGGCTTAATCTGAATATTCTTTTCACAAACTCAGCTTTAACATTTGATAAACTCTTTCTTCTGTATCACATCGAACATTTCCGAAACATTTTAATAAGTGTTGGATTTGTTTCCCAAAGTCTTCACAATTACTTTACAAAAATAAAACATTTGATCAGAGTTTTTTCATAATTTCCACAGAATTATTATCGATCAAAACGATTATCATCACCCTCATAATCAGACTCTTAAAATCTACACAAAAACATGTTACGGTCTTTTAAAAGTTTAAATCGTGATGAAAGAATATTTACAAAGCCACAGACTACAGTAGAATATAAAAGAATGGGCTGAATTATCCTACAACACTGGTTCATATTGTTCCCTTTTTAATAATAAAAATTGTTACAATTTAAAAACAAAGTCTGGCACTTCCTGTTCCCAGTTTGTTTGGTCGTTATTTATAAAATTACAGTTAATTTTCATCCAAGAAATCGTCGTCCAAGTTGACGTCTGCGGGATCGAAGTCTCCCAAATCAAAATTGTCCAAATCCAGATCGTCCAGACCCTAGAAAACATGGACACGTTTAAAAAGATTAAAATGATTTAATTGATTTTTAGTTATAATAAAGGTTTGACATTCTCTCTCTGTGGGAAAAACACAGGATTTATAAAGGATCAGAATCAGAATATTTTTTCATTGCTGAGTAAGTAACAAACCCTCCAACAAAACACAGGTAACTCTCGGAGCAAACAAGTCAAAAGTAGAGAAGAATAAGGCACAATAAAACTTTTCTTAAGTAAAGCCTTTTCTAAAATCATAGACTGTAAATATTAACGGACAGAGTCACGCCTATCTTTGCTGTTCAAACAAATGGGCCAAAAATTGTGCTCTACTGGAGCTATCCAAAATGGCCGCGAGTGGTCCCGCCCACAAGAAAAGTGTGAAAAAACGCATCTGCGCATGTGTCAGCCGGCGCAACTCCATTCATTTGAACGAGAGACTTAAAAAATTCACAGCGACTGAACTAGAGTGGACCAAAACACTCCCTCAGCTTTGACACACATGTGGAACGGAGCTTTGGGCCAAGAGCCAACTTTTGGACCATCCTGTAAAGGTGTTTTCGAGAGGTAAGAAGATGCTATATGTTAGCATTGGCTAATTCTTATTCTGGGTCCACCCCCACAAGCCCAGGGTGGTATTGCCGCATGTCAGCGCACGTCATTCTGGCCACTTTTGAGCCGGGACCCGCCCACACTGTCTAAAATAGAAAGAGTTCTATTAGATAAAGATTTGTGCTAAAAGTGTTTCTGCTGTTTTTTGTTCACAAACATCACAGAACGTTACACACAGAGTCGGACTTGGGATCTCGGGAATCAAAAACGAATTTGAACAATAATATCAGTTTTAACTCAACTGTTCAAATATTATTGTTCAAATTCGTTTTTGATTCCTTCAGGTCCTTCAGAACAACTTCAGGTCTGTTTTTCAAAAGGGAAAAATGTCGCAACATAAAAGTATTTGGTTCTTCTTCTGCACCAGACAATAGTAAGTTTATGATGTTTTTACCTTCACGTGTTTTGATGCTTTTTCTTCTGTCTTAACATTGCTGATTTATGACTGTTTGATGTAGAAGAACCACATGTATTTTTATATTTTCTACTAAGAAGACGATAAATAACCTTCTTTAATGACACTTTTGAAGCCCTTTTGGTTCAGTTTGTCAAATCTAACATTTCCCAAGGCTCTGGTGTTTGCTCCAGTTCCACGGTTTATTTCAGAGCCCCTTCACGTCAAACAAAAAGACTAAGCTAAACTTCCTAAACTAATGTTGAAACGTGGTGGATTTATGGAAAAGACATGACGTCCTGTGTCCTGTGAAAACCAGGCCTAAACATAATAAAATATATAAAAAACTTACCTCATCATCGTCTTCATCCTTAAATTCCACTTTTTCTTCTTCTGTTACTTCTGGAGCTACAGCCAGCACCTCTGGACCAAGACTTGGGGCGTCCGGACCAAGACTTGGGGCGTCCGGACCAAGACTTGGGGCGTCCGGACCAAGACTTAGGGCCCCAGGTCCCAAATCCTCCTCCTCCTCCTCTTCATCTACAGCTGGTGATGGTTCCACCTCTGGTTCTGGCCTCGGACTGAGTTTGAACCTAGCTAGAGTTTGCTCCAGGATTTCCGGTTCTGCTTCTGTAAATGTGGAAGATTCAAACGAAATAAGCTGTTCCTCTTTTGCCACTTCCTGAACATTCTCCGGTGAAGTCGTGTCGTCTTGAACCAAGGTCCTGTCTTCCAAAATGGCCGCCGCGCTCACTTTTGCTTCTTCTTCATGAAGGACCAGGTCTTCTGTTGCCGCAGGAGGTATCATGGCCGTTTCCATGGTAACATCTGCGAGATCGCCTGCCGAATCAGGGTCCGTTTCCTTATTATTAGCCTCCTCGGTCGTTACGATTTGTTCTGGAGTAGAATTTTCTTCCAAATCCAGCTCCGGTGACACAACGTTGGTTGAAATTTGGATAATTTGTTCGGCTAAAACCAACTCCTCAGATTTAAATGCCTCCGCGGTCTCTTCTTCTGACTCTGGAGGAGGTGAAGCCGTCAGTGTTTCTTCTCCTTCTGTTGGGATTGAAGCTTCCATCTTTGGGGCAGGATCCACGACTCTGTCCTCACAGGGTTCCACTGGAGCCGGACTCTCAGGCGTCTCTTTGGCCACGTTCTGTGAAGACAAATACAAAATAAGTAAAGTTTATTTATATAGCGCCTTTCACAGACCAGAACGTGCTGTGTGGGCGTTTTGTTTCTCGCTCCACACAGAGATGGAGCAGGAGTCTGCAGGAGCCACATGCCAGACCTACTGTACATGTTTTTAGTGGTAAGGGAAACCGAAGCACCTGGAGGAAACCTACACAGACATAAGGAGAATGTGCAAACTCCACACAGAAAGGTCTGGAGGTGGAATTGAACCCAGGACCTTCTTGCTGTGAGGCACAAGCACTAACCACTGCGCACCTGTGCCGCCAATTTATGTATGATTTAACACATCAATAAAGATGTATTATAGAATTGAGAAAACATTGTATCTCAAACTAATATTAGAGGGACTGGCCTCCTGCTGGGACTCTGAGGAGCACAGGGACTGGCCTCCTGCTGGGACTCTGAGGAGCACAGGGACTGGCCTCCTGCTGGGACTCTGAGGAGCACAGGGACTGGCCTCCTGCTGGGACTCTGAGGAGCACAGGGACTGGCCTCCTGCTGGGACTGAGTCAGGACTGAATATGAGGAGGCAACCTTTCAGATTCATGCTAAAATCTGGAACAGTCTTCCTGAAAATGTGAGAGACTTCTTCTCAGTCAATGTTTGAATTCAGGTGAAGACGGTTCTGTTTCTGAACAACTGAAGGATTGTGTTTTCTGTCGGTTTAATGAAAGTTTGGCTTTTATGAAAATGATAATGATATTTTTTAACTTAAGCATAACGCTGTCGGTAACATATCTTTCTGACCCCATCATCCTGACATTCTTATGGAAATTGTCAAAATAATCTTAAGAATAAAAAACATCAATAGCTTTCAGTCGTGTTCAAACTTTAAACTGTACTTTTTCATATTTATCATTTATTTATTTACATTACAGTAAATGTATTAAATAATCTTTGACTCACAGTTTCCATCAGAGAAACGCCCGGATCCTCCTGAAACAAACACACCAAATGGAGACGAATCAAACAGCAGTAAAACAGTTTTAGACACTTTATTTTACTTTTTTATTTATTATTATTTTATGAAAAATGTTAAACTGGCAAATCTGTAAATTATAACTGTTTTTTTTTAACAATGTGCCATACAAATAAATAGTGTTTCTTAGATACAGTGAATGTACAGACTTTGTAAGATATTTATATACATCTCTATGCTACAGTAAAGTGCATGTACATATATTTTTCCAAGTTTTTCCAAATAAAACCACTCACTTCTCTCACTTGAGCTGCCGCTGGTTTCTCTTCAGGTTTGGAGCTCGTCACAAACAATGCACTTTCAAAAACCTTCTCCACTTCTTCCTACAACAAAACAAAACAGGAAATGTCAATAAAAAGTTTTCCAAAAGTTTGTCTGAGATGCAGTAGTAAACATTATTTGTCTGCTCCCATCAGGGCGTAGGTTCAGATCCCTCCCATTCAAAACTAAAAGGGCCACGTCCAGATTCCTCCCGCCTCAATCCTCCTTTAAACCGCTGTTTTAAGTATTTTATATTTCATTTCTGCTCTTTTACGGTTCTTATATTAAGGTCTTGTGTACCCCCAATAGTGCTCTGTCCGTTAATGTTCCTCACGGATGAATAAAGTTATTTGAATTGAATTGAGACAAGGGGAGAACATGCAAACTCCACACAGAAAGGACCTTCTCGCTGTCATTATATTGAAGAGGATGGAGCTAAAACTAACACAGTTCTCTCTTTGAAGAAGGAAAAATGAAGGAATAATAAAAAATAAAAAAAAGGTGATTTTTGCAGAATAATCCTTTATATTGAGACCTACATTGTGCACTTGTGTTGGAGAGACCTCTGCAGACGTAGGAACCACAGTTTGAGACTCAGCTACAACCTGAAGAAAAAAGAGAAATGCTTTATAGTTTGTTATTGACACATTGTTGCAGTTTATGGAGTTTGTTCAAGGACAGAATGAAACTGAAAGACTTTTCTGTGGATGATCCATGAACTCACCTCAGACGCTTCTTTAGGGACAAAACCTTCAGATTCTTCCAGAACATTACGGTCCTCGTTTGGCTGCGAAACACAAAAACAACAATAACTCAAGAAATGAAAAAAAGAATGAACCAAAACACAATGATTCAGTCCATTTGTGAGTTTGGGTTTAGGTTCAAGTCAAACCGAATGACTCCAAGTGGTTTTTATCTTATACTGCTTAAACTACAGCCACAAACTCTTTATCAAATTTATTTATCTATTTTGTTCACTTTTTTACGGTAATTCAACAAAAAAATCACAATAATCCAGCAAATACAACAGTAATACATTCCATGAGAGGAAGAACAGGAGGAGGGTGAAGAAGAAAAAAATGGCCAAATTAAATGAAATATTGTTTTTTAATAATAAGAGCCATTTTACACCATCGGTTTTGGCAAAATGGCAAAAAATGTGAAAACTGGGACATGAAAAACAAAATAAATGTATATATTTGATCAGTTTTTTGTAGAAACAGATGAGGGCAAATAGAAAGGATTATTATTTGCCCTTTACGAAGTCGTTTTTTGAAAATGACAGATCTAATTTTGTGCCAAAATAATTAAGTTTTACTCCAAACTTGAGCAAATTCTGTCAAATGCTTTGCTAGTAACAAAATGTTTAAAATTGTAACTTGAGGAATAAGACTTTTTCACAAATTAAAAAATAGAAATCTGTTTTGCCAAATAAACTCTTCATTTATTTTGCTGGGATCGAGGCTCAAAACGTATTTATTCAGACTGGCTTTTAACGCTTTTAACTCTCACTAGCACGGTGGCACTTTTTAATGCTTTTTATCTGTTTTATTGTGTTATTTCATGTGATTTCATTGGTCGCCGTGAATGCTGTAAAGTGCTCTATACATACAATGGATTGATTGATTGATTGGGACACAGGACTTAGATCTCCTTGGTTGCATTCCTCACTGACCATCGTGACGGTGTAGTCTGCTGCTGGTCTGCCTCCCACGTGTGTCTCCTGCAGATACTGCTCGGCCACTAGGGCGCGCTGTAGTCCAGGGAACAGGTTACTGTAGCTGCACGGATCGGCCAGAGCGGCTGCTGCCTTCTGATTCTGACGAGACAGACTCTGCTTCCACAGACCGACCACCCTGAGCACAGACACACACATGAGCACAGACACACACATGATCACAGACACACACATGACCACAGACACACACATGACCACAGACACAACAGACAGACACACACATGAACACAAACATGAACACAAACACACACATGACCACAGACACAACAGACGGACAGACACATGACCACAGACACACACACACACACATGATCACAGACACACACATGATCACAGACACACACGTTAAACCACCCTGAGAACAGACACACACATGATCACAGACACACACATGACCACAGACACACACACACATGATCACAGACACACACATGATCCCAGACACACACACATGACCACAGACACACACACATGACCACAGACACACACACATGACCACAGACACACACATGATCACAGACACACACATGACCACAGAAACACACATGACCAGACACCAGACAGACACACACAAGTTAAACCACCCTGACCACAGACACACACACATGAACACAAACACACATATAAAACCCTGACCACAAAAATACACATCTGTAACCAGCCTGACCACCCTGACCACACACACACACATCTAAAACCACCATGACCACACACACACATCTGTAACCACCCTGACCACACACACATCTAAAACCACCATGACCACACACACACACATCTAAAACCACCATGACCACACACACATCTAAAACCACCCTGACCACACACACATCCAGACCACACACACATCTAAAACCACCCTGACCAGACACACACACATCTAAAACCACCCTGACCACACACACACATCTGTAACCACCCTGACCACACACACACATCTGTAACCACCATGACCACACACACACATCTAAAACCACCCTGACCACACACACACACATCTAAAACCACCATGACCACACACACACACATCTGTAACCACCCTGACCACACACACATCTAAAACCACCCTGACCACACACACACATCTGTAACCACCCTGACCACACACACATCTAAAACCACCCTGACCACACACACATCTAAAACCACCCTGACCACACACACATCTAAAACCACCCTGACCAGACACACACATCTGTAACCACCCTGACCACACACACACACACACACATCTGTAACCACCCTGACCACACACACATCTGTAACCACCCTGACCACACACACACACACACACATCTGTAACCACCCTGACCACACACACATCTGTAACCACCCTGACCACAGACACACACATATTTGTATGATTCTCTGATCTTATGTTACATTTTCTGTATTAATTACACCTTCATCATGACCATGAGCCTAATGTTGAAATATGATGATTTAAAACTACAGCATCTGCAAAAATACTTCCGTGCTCATCCTTTACGTTGGAGATTCTTAATGTCGGAGATTCTTAATGGAGATTTGGCAGCGACAGGTTTTTTTGAACACCATAAAAGGAGGGATTTTTGGCTTATGATCAGGAACAGTGTTGTAGCATGGCTAACATCTCTGATCTGTGTTGGTGATTTCAATGGTTTTGTTAAGTCTCTGAGATGATGATGTTGTGATTTTGGGAAATACAAGAATAAATTGTATTGTATTTTGTGGAAAATAAAAAAAAAATACGATTTTGCAAAACAGGAAGAGAATGTACTAGATTATAAAAAGCCCTCCTATTTCTGTCACAATGTATTCAAATCCGTACTTTCAGGACTTTAAGCCGCACCAGCAACATTTTGAAAAAAAAATGTGTTGTGTCCACATATAGGCCGCACTTGAATAAACAGTAAGCCTCATGTTGATATGTAGCAGACGACTGTGTTAACTGGACGCAACCGTTAGCTCCCACAAATCATTCACTTTTATCTATCTTGACAATAAACAACTGTCTTATAGCGACTTCAAGTTGATGGTGTCAAATCTATGAAGTCCAATTTTACCACAAAAATACACATATTAGCCACATCACTTTATAAGCCACAAAGTTCAATAATAAAAAAATAGTGGCCTATAGTCCAGAAATTCTTAAAAATTTATGTGATTTTGTACATTTTTTTTTGTTTTTTTTTTTTTCACCATTATGTGAAAAATAAACTTCTGTTCTTACCATCCTAGTGTTTTAGTTTTTACGATGTGGGACCCCATTTATAAGAATTAGACTTACAGAGCTTTTCAGGGAGTCACAAAGATATGCACAAAAATGTAATGTATTTTCTGATCTGTGGCAATGTGAAAATATATAATAATAATAATCTTAATATTAATAATATCAATAATAATAATATTAATAATATTAATAATAATAATAATAATAACAACATAAAAGTGATGTATTTCCTTCATACTGAGCCTCTGCGGCTTTACCTCGACACTTGGCTCGGGAGGTATGTTCTCGCCAGAAACGCCGCCTCTGGCAACCGCTCGGTCCTGATCAGGAGGTCCAGACACTTGTCCAGTCTGAGAGAAAGAGCAAAGAGCATAAATTATACAGGGCCTGAGCAAATGCAGGAGCTGCTGCTTTTCTCTCCGTGTGAGACCAGTTTTAATATTCAGACGGAAGGAAAAAATGTGAAAACTTGTCATTTATGGAGCTGAGACTGAGAGATTAAAGATCAATTCAAACTAGGGATGTACCGAATCCAGGATTCGGGTTCGGATTCGGCCGAATATTGGCTTTTTTGACGGGGTTCGGTTTCTGGCCGAACCTCAGAATTTTTCCCACCGAACCCGAACCCTGCACTTACACTATGCAGTGTGTGGCTGTTGGATTCGTCACGGAAATAAGATTCGTTCGGAAGTGTAAATGAACATGCACTTTAGCGGATGTTTATATCCTCTTGCTCTCTGTTCCTCTTTGGGTGCGCTAAGGTCTCTTACTGGTCATGTGATCCCCGCGGTCCAATTAGCTCTAGTCATACGCCGGTGCGAGGGGATGTTATGATTCTTGTTTTCACCTGTAATGCGGTTCTGATGGATCATAAACTAACTGCCTATTCACCAACTTTATGGAGCCGATTACCAGTGCCAGGTACTTGTCATCTGAGCTGCGTATGACTGTAGAAGCAGAGTTGGTGAGTCCATGTTTAGGCAACTAGCCTCTTAGCATTAGCTTCTCTCAACTTGTCTCTGACGAGTTTGGCATATCAAATGTCCATATATATATAATGTATTGACCTGAACCAGTGGAAGCTATTTATGCATGTATAGAGCTTTAGCTCTTATTTTTACATGACATGCACAGTAATATATGTACTTTATCACTGAAGTTTTACACTGCTGTGAACTGAGTGTATTTGTGTTTAATGATAAGCGGGAATATTATAAATGTTATAATAATAGATTCTGGTCGAGCTACATGTCCAATTTGCAATGCCGATTTGTCTCGTGGTAGTAAGGACCCTAAACAGTACACAACACCGCCGCTGTTAAAACATTTGCATATGAAACATAAATGGACAGAGGATGGAATAGGATTCGGTATTCGGGTTCGGATTCGGCAGAATCTTAACCAGTGGATTCGGTATTCGGCCGAACCCCAAAAACTTGGATTTGGTACATCCCTAATTCAAACATCGGATTTTAATCTGATTTTCAAGGTACATTTTGACGTTTTTATTCTTTATTTGACCTTTATTTAACCAGGAAAGTCCAATTGAGAACAAATTTGAAATAGTAAATATGCAGTAAATAAGCAGTGAATAAGCATTAAATAAACAGTGAATAAGCAGTAAATAAGCAATAAATAATCAGTAAATAATCAGTAAATAAGCAATAATCAGTAAATAAGCAATAATCAGTAATTCAGTAAATAAGCAGTAAATAAGCAGTAAATAAGCAGTAAATAAGCAGTGAATAAGCAGTAAATAAGCAGTAAATAAACAGTGAATAAGCAGTAAATAAACAGTAAACAAGCAGTAAAGAAGCAGGAAATAGGCAGGAAATAAGCAGTAAATAAACAGTGAATAAGCAGTAAATTAGCAGTAAATAAACAGTAAATAAGCAGTGAATAAGCAGTAAATAAGCAGTAAATAAGCAGTAAATAAGCAGTAAATAATCAGTAAATAATCAGTAAATAATCAGTAAATAATCAGTAAATAATCAGTAAATAATCAGTAATAAGCAGAGATGACAGAACCCTTGAACTTCCGGAGCCTCACCTGCCCTGCATGAAATAAGCGAGGAAGGCCACGTTGGTCTTTCCGTCCGAGTCCGCGCCCTCGGCCAGTTTTCCTACCATCGGAGCGTTCCCGGAGGCCGTGGCCAGCAGCAGTAAACCTCCGTAATCCTGGGCCTGGTGCAGACACTCCTGGGCCAGACTGAAGTGGCACTTGGAGGTGGCGAGCTCAGCCAGCTGCTTCCACTTGTGCTCGGACTGAAGCCAGAGCAGAGGATCAGTACTGCTACAACCGGGACTTTGTAAGGGCGTTAGTCTGAGAGAAAGCAGGTCAAGGTTTGGGCTGAGAGCCATGATGTGGAGGTGGAGGAGGGGGTTTGAGGTGGGGGGTAGCTTTGAGGGGGGGGTGTCGGTGGGAAAGGACTGAAATAATCTTTGGAAAATGAAAGTCCTGCTTCTAAAAGAGGCTTACTGTGATGATGATCCAGGACACTACATTCTACTACATTTTTTTCCCTTTGGTCCAAAACCATGTGGTCTCTCCCTATGGTCTAATACCGTGTGTGTGTGTGTGTGTGTGTGTATAAATATTAGGTAAAATCCATTTCATTTGCCTTTATGTCAAATGCACGTGTGACATGATGGGCAGGGCTGCTCTTTTGACTATAGCAAAGATAGCCTGTAATATCTTTTGGTTTTATTATTATTGATTGTTGCTCAAATAAATCGGTAATAAAACAAAGTAAAATAGCGCAATGTCAGCACATGTTCATGCAGAAATCTAGTTTGCTCCAATGTTAAGGGTGGCACACACAAATCTTTAATACATATAAAGTATAGTAAAGTTATAAAGTATATAAAGTTTATCTAATCTTATATAGTACTGGGAAGTAGTGTGTTTGGTGAGAGAAATCAGAAGAAACAAGATAAATCCATTATTGGTTGTGTTCATGTGACATCACAACATTCCACTTGCCTATAGTGTAACATTTCGGTGGAGTTGAAAAATAACTCTTGGTAAGTGTAAAAAGTCAATTTTATCCTGAGCCCGGTCGAGGAGCTGTGGATCCTCACTTTCAGATGATGCTAATGTAGCTGAACATTGCTGATTTCTCTCTAATCACAGGGACTTGGGGTTTTAATATGATTGTATAGAGAATGGCCCCTGCTGCTGTGGTGTGTCCTCACCTCTGCCTCCTGGGCCAGCTCGTACGCGATCTTCACCTCCCCGAGCTGCAGAGCCAGTTCAAACTTGTGTTCTGCGTCTGTGGTCACCGCCAGAGCCTGCGGTTTGAAGCCCTTTAAGAAAAGATACAAGCAATATTAGAAAACATGGACACAACGGGCGAGAACAAGAAAGCACAAATTAGATATTTCAGCAGCGAGAGAGAATTCTGTCCTAAATCCTGATGAGAAAAGCGTAGAATTTGGAAGTGAATTGGATTAAGTCGGACTGAATCATAATGAAACTGAACTGTATCCGGGTGTTTATGGTCTATTTGATACAGTCCAGCTTCTACATAATTTAATACTATTGAGGAATGCTGGGCGACAGTGGCTCAGTTGGTAGAGCATTGGCCTTTTAGCCTGAAGGTCATGGGTTCGAGCACATCATAAGACCAACTTCACAACTCCCACTGATGACTGATGTCGTTGTGTCCTAGAGCAAGACACTTAACCCCACTTTGCCTGAAGCCCCCGCTGAAAGATCTCAGCGCCTGTGGACTCAGCAACTGCAGGAGGATCAGAGAGGGGCTGGTGCTCTGTGTACTGTGTGCAGCTCTGACTGTCACCCCCCTGACCCAGAAATGGATTAAGGGGAAGAAAATGGATGAATGGACATTGAGGAATTCTACCGGAAGAGAGCCAATAATAAATAATTCTAATACTAAGGACGCCAGTGTTGTTGTTATTGTTATCATCATCACCATCACCACCATTACTGTTATTTTCTTCTTTTTTGTTGTTGTCATTGTTCTCTTGCCTCTCTCCTCTCGCCCTCGTTAACAGTCACTTACAAAAACTTTGGTCTCGCCTTTCTAAGTTTTCTTCATAAGGATTTGTTGGTGTGGTCTCACTTAGAGTCTGGGCTAAAAAGGAACTAACCATCACATACATGTACAGTGCCTTGCGAAAGTATTCGGCCCCCTTGAACCTTTCGCCACATTTCAGGCTTCAAACATAAAGATAGAAAAATCAATTTTTTTGTCAAGAATCAACAACAAGTGGGACACAATCATGAAGTGGAACAAAATTTTTCGGATAATTTAAACTTTTTTAACAAATAAAAAACTGAAAAGTGGGGCGTGCAATATTATTCGGCCCCCTTGCGCTAATACTTTGTAGCGCCACCTTTTGCTGAAATTACAGCTGCAAGTCACTTGGGGTATGTCTCTATCAGTTTTGCACATCGAGAGACTGGAATTCTTGCACATTCTTCCTTGCAAAACAGCTCGAGCTCAGTGAGGTTGGATGGAGAGCGTTTGTGAACAGCAGTCTTCAGCTCTTTCCACAGATTCTCGATTGGATTCAGGTCTGGACTTTGACTTGGCCATTCTAACACCTGGATACGTCTATTTGTGAACCATTCCATTGTAGATTTGGCATTATGTTTTGGATCATTGTCCTGTTGGAAGATAAATCTCCGTCCCAGTCTCAGGTCTTTTGCAGACTCCAACAGGTTTTCTTCCAGAATGGTCCTGTATTTGGCTCCATCCATCTTCCCATCAATTTTAGCCATCTTCCCTGTCCCTGCTGAAGAAAAGCAGGCCCAAAGCATGATGCTGCCACCACCATGTTTGACAGTGGGGATGGTGTGTTCAGGGTGATGAGCTGTGTTGCTTTTACGCCAAACATACCGTTTTGCATTGTGGCCAAACTTTAAACAAGACTTTTATGGATATCTTTGAGAAATGGCTTTCTTCTTGCCACTCTTCCATAAAGGCCAGATTTGTGCAGTGCACGACTGATTGTTGTCCTATGGACAGACTCTCCCACCTCAGCTGTAGTTATCTGCAGTTCATCCAGAGTGATCATGGGCCTCTTGGCTGCCTCTCTAATCAGTCTTCTCCTTGTTTGAGATGAAATTTTGGAGGGACGGCCGGGTCTTAGTAGATTTGCAGTGGTCTGATACTCCTTCCATTTCAATATAATTGCTTGCACAGTGCTCCTTGAGATGTTTAAAGCTTGGGAAATTTTTTTTGTATCCAAATCCGGCTTTAAACTTCTCCACAACAGTATCTCGGACCTGCCTGGTGTGTTCCTTTGTCTTCATGGTTCTCTCTACGCTTTAAACAGAACCCTGAGACTATCAAAGAGCAGGTGCATTTATACGGAGACTTGATTACACATAGGTGCATTCTATTTATCATCATCAGTCATTTAGGACAACATTGGATCATTCAAAGATCCTCACTGAACTTCTGGACTGAGTTTGCTGCACTGAAAGTAAAGGGGCCTAATAATATTGCACGCCCCACTTTTCAGTTTTTTATTTGTTAAAAAAGTTTCAATTATCCAATACATTTCGTTCCACTTCACTATTGTGTCCCCCTTGTTGTTGATTCATGACAAAAAATTTAAATTTTATATCTTTATGTTTGAAGCCTGAAATGTTGAAAGGTTCAAGGGGGCCGAATACTTTCGCAAGGCACTGTATATCATCATACATAATAAGCCTGAATGCAATAAGTCACGATTCATTTTAACTATTTTTCAGCCCAGCAGTTTTGTTTGGTTCTGTTCTGTTTCTTTCCAAGCAGCTGCACTCACTTTGATCATAGAAATATATTACAAATGATGAGATTTAAACGGACTGGTTTCTTCCTTGGTTTCTCAGTCTTTCTCTTTTGTCTCTCACTGTTATCAAAATAGAATAAGAAGGTGGGACAGTTTGAACTGTGGGTATTTATCAATCCAGGTGCTTTTCTATATGTGCAAAGTAAAATAGTGTTTGTATTTTGCCTTTAGTTTAGAGCGGTTTAGTGCGGTATGGATCCTGTTGAGTTAAAAAACAAACAGTTTCAGATCCACAAATGTGAAAATAATGAAAAGAATTGGACACAAATTCTACCCCTGGGCATGTTTAAAGACCTTATGACGGGTTTTTGAAAAAAAAAAAAATAGTGGATATCAAAATTGCATGACAATGTCAATTTGAAAGAGATTCCGGCAACAAAAATCCTATATTTTATAAAAAGAACGTGTTTTTCATGAATTTAAGTTGTCTATGCTCTAACCTGTGTGTGACGTCATAGCGGGTTACGCCCATGCATTGAAAACCATGGATCTATGCCACAGGACTGCCTTTTCTCTCTTCTCTCCACTGATGCCCAACACAATACTGCACTCTACAGGTGACAATTGCTCACTACACATAAATTGCCGTTTTGAGAAAAAGTGTCCGAGGTGGGATTTGAACCTAAGTATCTGGATTGGCAGTCCATCGACACAACCACTGGACTATCTCAGTGACAACGAAATAGTATACTCTAGTAGTTATGTTAGACTCGCTGTACACGGCCTTGTCATCTTGAATATCCGCGAAAAAAGAACGAATACCAAATTGTAAACAACTTACAGCGTTGAAACGTACCCGTTCTGACGTCACCAAGGGCTGTGAAGTTTTTTCGTTTCTAAGGGCGTTGCTATGGGGTTATTTCGATTTGGGGGGATCAGACAAAAAAACAACAACTGATTTTGAAACCTTTAGTAGTTTTCTTCTAATATAAAATGGTATTAAAACTGTATTTCTAAATAAATCAAACCCGTCATAAGGTCTTTAAGTCCAGGTCTTATTTAGCTCTGCATATGACCAATTTTAAGCATTTAAAAAAAACAAATGTAAATCTAACCGCCTCAAGACGCCTTGCATGTATACAATTATTTAACTGTAAAGAAACAGCATAACGCACAAGCACCTTCTAGTTGTGTTAATGGTTGAATTTTTGTATTTATTATTTCAGTCTCTTTCTGGGATGTATGTAAATCAATCCAAAGATCAGTGGAGATCCCAAAGAAAACCAAACAGTAAATCTATACATTTTCAATAGTGTTTTTAGTGTGTCATAAAATGTTAAACCTGATTTGTGAGACTACATTATTTGTTACTACGGGGCGTGGGCCAAGTAAAGGGCAGAAGCAAAATCTCTCTCTTTAGATTAATATATCAGAGTGAAAAAGCCAAAAGTAGTACCCAGAGGCTGCTCTCCATCTGGCTGCCCCATGTTCCCCTAAATTATGCATGTCTTCAAACTCTGCCTTTTCCAGACGAGAGTGAAAGTAGTGGAGTAAGCACAGAAACGCACTTCCAAAGGGAAAAAAACTGTTTTTACAAAGAGTGTTATGTAAAAGTAAAGCTTCAGATAGTAAAGGAATTTGATAATTTAGTGAGAGGAGGTTAAGGTTGGAGAGACTTCTGGTTCAAAAGTTGAAAAAGAGGAGTTTAATTCTGTGTTTATAATATTATCGAACTGGAATTCAGAAGTTGGTAGTTTGATTTCAGGCGCTTTTATCTCGAGAAGCCGGGATTGTGATGTCACCAGTCACCACAAATATAGCTATAGTCACCAAAATAACTTTAAAAAGGACTTTACTAAAGAAACACAACTTACTCAATTCAAATATTGGGTAATATATCTCTTTGTGCTCTTGGTGCGCCTCAGGGATTGATCCTTGGCTGTTTCTCTTTGCACAGATATTACTTTTGTACCCCAATGCTTATTCAGAATCAGAGAGAAGCAGAAATAATACATCTTTTAAACTACACATCTAATGGAACCGTCTAGAAATAGTTTATAAAATGTGTCCCTTTGATTTGAGAAATAAAATGTTAAAAGGGCCAAAAATGCATGTATATGAAAACCAGTGATACAACCAAGCTGTATTGAAAGTAGGGATGTAAATCGGCGACCGTTTAACCGGTGGTTGACCGTCACAGCGTTAACCGGTCAAAGCTGTCGGTTAAAAAAAGAGAAAAAGGGGAGAGGGGAGGTCTCTTAATAACGCTATTTTAAGCCCTATTTGCACGATGTGACGAGCGGGTCTGTATCTAGCTGTGTGCGCCCATGTATTATAAACTCCGGGACGACTCTCATGCCGCACGAGCCACATATGCACACACGCGCACACGCGCATACACGCACACACACACACACACACTCACACTTTCCCCCTCTCCATACGTAACATCCACACGCATCATCTCTCCCCTTTGTTACCGTCAAAGTTGCACACTGGCGCGGGTCAGAACTACATTGGAGCTTACATTTACACACACACACATATACATACACACATACATACACACACACATACACACACACATACCGGTCTGTCGCGCTCCTCTGTGTCACGGAGCCCAAAGGATTCGCGCAAATACGCGGCTCCAGTCAAACCACATGGAACATGTTTGTGTTTATGGTCCTCGGGATCAGCTCCACACACATCACTTGTATTTAAACTTTTGTGAAGACCTGTGAGACGCGGCTCGTCACTCGCTGCTCTGACCATGTGAACGAGCCGTCGTTTGCTGCTAGAAAGTTTTGGTATATTAACCCGCAGCACAGCAGAATGGGAAGATTAAAAAAGCAGTTCTCTGTGCGCAAAGGTGCCGGAGCTGTTGCGGGTTTGGGCGCCGCTGTCACTTATGAAAAGTACGGGGCTCGAAATGGCTGTTATTTCAAAGAACGTGGACTATTTTAAACTACGCGGTTAACCGGTTTCAACCGGTTAATGAGGCTCGGTGGTCGGTCATGAAAATTCATAGTTTTTTACATCCCTAATTGAAAGCTGCCTAGAAATAGATGAATGGATTTTACTCATAGTAGCAGCAGAACTAATATGTCTTATAAACTACACATCTAATGGAACCGCCCTGGAATAGTTTATAAAATGTGTCCCTTTGATTTGAGAAATAAATAAAAGGAGGAGCAGTCACTTAAAATGTATGTGAAAACTAGTGATACAACCAAACTGCATTGAAAGCCTAGAACCTAGAACCTAGATGGATGGATTTTATTACATAGTTAAATCCTTTGTGGGATGAAAGTTGTGTACCCGTTAGGCTTCATGTAGCCTGGTCGTACCACACCATAGTACAAAGATTAGTTTACAGATAGGAGGGGTTAACCCCTTTTGCAGATTGAAACGATTGGATCTGAGTTTACCGTGACGTATGTAGTGCACCCGAGTCTGTTGTTAGCATTTAGCATTTAGCCTAGCCATCACCTTTGCTGCTAACGGAGCCCGTGGGGAGTAGCGCCACAATTTTTTCTAGCGATTACATTTGCTAAACATTCCTATTGCTCCGGCTTCAATTTCTTTATAGAACCAGACCGGATTACTTAACTATCGCATTTTTTGCCATTGCCAAACTACAACCTTCCCGTTCGAGGCAAACTCTTGACATCACCCACAACTATCTACAACACCTGCCTTCCGCGCTCTCTGAATGGTCGGTCGAAATTCAACCGATTGTAATTGCTAACAAAAGGGACCAGACCCAGACGTTACATGCAGTGAAATGATGATTGAGCGGAGTGTACAGATGGCTAAGGCCAGGCTAGGCTTCATGTGCACAGGTGTAAAGTGTCGGACCTGTTTCTCGAGGAAGTGTGCGACGCGAGGCCTCTGCTCTTTGGGGATGGTGGGCAGGACTCGGTCTGCGGTGGTGAAGTCTCTCCTCATCACGGCCGTCTGGTACTCCAGCACCGACAGCAGCAGCCAGAAGCTCACCACACTCAGCTCTTTGTCTCCCAGATACAGCCGGTCGTCTTTGGGAATGTAGCCCAGAAGATACATGGTCCTGAGAGACAACAAATACTACTTTACTGGCATGTTTGTAAAGTTTAAGTGGTTGGTTAGGGCTGCACCGTTTTAGCAAAATTATAATAATAATCATGCAGTTTTATACAACACTTTTCAGGACACTCAAAGTCTCTTCACATCATTATTCTTTCCCTCCATACACAGGGGTGATAGTTTGGCACTTTACAGCCGCAGCCGCCCCACTGTGGCACCCGGTGTTCCCAGAGGTCTCCCATCCCAGCACTACCCAGGCGCTGTCCTACTTAGCTTCAAAGGTCTGACGGGATCTGGCTTTCACATGCAGGTATGGCCACAAAAAAATTGACAGATCTTATTGCAATATTTCTCATCAACATTGCAATGCCGTTTTTGATATTATGTACATATGAAGCAATTACACATTCCCCATAAATAAGATCCAAAAAACTATGTAAAAGTGCAGCCGACTTATGTATGTATATATGTGGAACGAAAAGTATGCCCCAATATTTCCACCAGAAAACGAGTGGTCTTTTCATAGGTTCATTTCATCAGCCCCTTTCATCTGTCCATTTCATACCGGTCCAGGTGAGCTATAGTGATGACCTCATACCGGTCCAGGTGAGCTATAGTGATGACCTCATACTGGTCCAGGTGAGCTATAGTGATGACCTCATACCGGTCCAGGTGAGCTATAGTGATGACCTCATACCGGTCCAGGTGAGCTATAGTGATGACCTCATACCGGTCCAGGTGAGCTATAGTGATGCTCTCTTACCGGTCCAAGTGAGCCACTGTGATGATCTCTCCTCCAACGTAGTAGTTGAGTCTGTTCACAGAACTGGTGTAGATGAAGCAGTCTCCGACCCACACTCCTGTTTTCACCACCTCCGGCACCTCTCCCAGCACCTACACAAACAACAAGTACTAATAAATACTAATAAATACTATACACAGTAAGTATGAGAATTCATTGTTGCTCCCAAACTGGTTTGACCACTTTAGTCCCAGTCTACCAATTGAACAGAGAAGGCTTTCAAAGGAATCTTGTAACTTGTAAACTGAAATATTGGAGCTAAGAATAATATCTGTCATACATACAACATAGGGGTGGGCGATATGGCCTAAAATTCATATTGGGGTATAATTTGGGACACAGACGGTAGACGGTATATATTGCGGTATAATTTGGTGTGTGAATTTCAATTTAGGTCTAGCAGGTTCTTGAATGAAATAGTCAAGATTATTACTTATTTAAATGTATTGTGCAAAACTGCAATTATAGAGAACATTATAAAACTTCCAAGTAGTATTGCTGGGTTTCAACCACGTGACCAAAAGGGGGCGGGGCATGGGGCCGTAGGACAGGAAGTATTTTTCTCCTATTAAATAGAATGGGCAATGCTGGAAAACGCAGACATAGGAGCTTTTCGATGATTCTGCTAATGCTAGCGCGTTTCTCCCGTTCCTTATTAGGCATTTTCCTAAAAATTGACACCCGTTAGAGAAATATTTTTTAGCAAAGTAGAAACTCCATAAGTTCACCACTTCATTTGACCAGTTGCCACAACTGTACACGCCACAGAAAAAGAGCATTTTAACTCGGATGTAAACTCGTTTACATTGTTCTTAGTGGGGAAATTTACTTCCTGTCCCTCGGAGCACTTTCGTCACGTGCAACCCAGGATTTTGATGACATAATGACCATATGCCGGTAGAACAAAAATCTCTACCGTTGGCCAAATTTATATTGCATACCGCTTATACCGTTTATATCGCCCAGCCCTAAGACAACACACACAGGATGTCGCCAGAATACTCCAACTACAGGTGTGTGTGTGAGACTTGGCTGCTTTTATACCACAGCACAAAGTGATGTCACACTGCACTCAAGCGCCAATGAGAGGCCAGGACCAAATTCAAATGTAGTGCCACCGAAAATGTAGAGCTGGCGCCACACAGATGGTTTAGGCTCAGAAGTGAGATTTCATCTAATATGCACAAAATAATGACCAGGATGTGCAGAGAGCACTATAAGAAACACATTTATGCAGTTTATGACTTTAAAAAAAGTTGATTTGGTGTTTAGGTGTCCTATAAAAGCACCTTCTACGTAGTTACACAGAGTAGAAAAGGGTCTATCTGGTCTTGCTCAATAATCTAACACTGGACTTGGCGAGTGATCCGAGCTATTATTATTACCTTTATTACAGACACGAGGTCCAGATAAGAAAGACATCACACAAAAACAACTGGTGCTTTGAGAGAATAATCTCACGTCAAACGCCTCCTCGATCCCGTCCTCTGTGATGTCACTCTTCTTCTCGAGAGCCGCCGCCACCTTCTCAGACATGTATCTCAGCACGAAGAAGGACTCTTCGGTGGCAATACTCACCAGCTCCCCAGAGTCAGACCAGAACACCTGAAGACAAAGTTTATTCGGCCATTTTAATACTCTTTAATACACGTTTTTACAATACAATACAATACAATAAATTCTTGTATAGCCCTAGGTCACAACAGAAGTCATCTCAGAGGACTTAACAAAACCATTGAAATCACCAACACAGGTCAGATAATCAACAGTTAAAACACATGAAAAATATAAAGCACACACAGAAGAAAATGTCCATACATGTTGTAGAATGTTAAAGTGTCCTGATCATCACCAATCCTTTCTGTTGGACACTAAAGCCTAGTTTATACTCGCGCGGCGCGGAGCGGAGGTGACGTGACGTCACTTGCGCAACGCGTTGGTCACCGCAAGGCCCTTACGTCGCCTGCCGCGCAGCATCAAAATTTTCTAACTACGTAAGGGTCGCCGCAAGGAATCTCCGCTGTGATTGGTCCGTGTGTGTGTATTGGAAGGAAGCACGGAGCGGCTGCAGCAGGGACAATGGACGAGGCACTATGGAGCAGAGAGTTTTGTGCTTCGAAGGAAAAGCAGTTTGGGCTCAGAGCCTGATATATAGGAGACTGTGGACTATCTAACATATATATAACTTAAACTGTGCAGTCGTTTGTTTTGCACTGTTCCTGTCTTGTTTGAATCGTAGCTGCGTTTGTTGCTTTCCTCCTGCACTCGTAAATCGTTTGTTTGTCTCAGATATTTACCACTATTATTGTTTTGCTGTTTGTGTTGAAAATAAATAATAACTGTTTCCAACAAGAACTGTGTCTTTATTCACAGAATCACAGTTGAAATGACTTCTAAAATAATGAATCCATAAAACTATCACATAAACCTGCAGTAGAAACACATGTAATGAGCTCAAACAGCTTTGTTTGCTATTGTTCTGAAGAGGACAAAGTAGCAGCGTAAATGGGACCGCTCCTGTGTGATCGCCCTCATGTGGTTTGTTGTGGGATTACAACATTCTACTCAAAACTCCGTAAGGGGAACGCGCCAGTATAACATCAATTGTGCTTACGTAGGTCCACCGCAACCGCTAACGTAAGCCACGCCGCGCAAGTATACACTAGGCTTACTGTCCAACAAGACCCTCCTGCGTCGACAAGGAAAAACTCTTAAAAAACCCAGTGGGAAAAAGTGAGAAACCTTGGGGAGAACTAGGGAAACCCACAGGGAGGGAGACGGATTACACCGGCCTATAAGCTAAAGCAGGTTCATGAGAGTTCCCTTTTTAAAAAAAACACCTATAAAACATTAGAAAGTAGAAGGTCTATGACTTTTATGACTATGAAGTTTTGTAATTAAAGAGACATCTTTTATACTTGTACATATATTACACATAAGGTTATCTATACTCACGCCGCACAATCACTCGAGCACTTTAAATCCCTGCTTAAGACGCACCTTTTCTCTTTGGCTTTTAATACCGGGCAGAAAGAAACAAGTTTTTGGTTTTTATTTTTACATCTATTTCTGTATTTTTATATGCTTTTTTAATGTTGTTTTTTGGTAGCACTAGGCCCAGAACTTTCACACGGATACCATATTATTGTCTAAAATAAAATGGCCTCAGAGCTGTCAAACCATTCTGCTGTGTCTCTTCTTCTTTTTGAGTCAGGGAAACGCAACAACAGCAAAGACTAATAATAATAATAATAATAATAACAATAATAATGGTATAATCGCACATGCTTAGGTGTGATTTCGATTCGCCGGACGAGGTCGGCAGTTTCCCAGTCGTAAAAGGCCAAACCACTGCTGGACCTGACCCCGAGCAAGAAGCCTCCAAACACACCTGCGCCAAAGGGAAAATATAGAAAAGGTAGAATTAATAACAACCTAGACTTTTTTACTTCACTGTCTTTGCAGAGTGCATCTCGACAAGATCAAAGCTAATTTCAAGTACAATATTAGACGCTAGGGGTGGGAACCTAAGGGTACCTCACGATACGATACGATACAGGATACAAAGCTCACGAGAACGATAATATCACGACAACAATTTTATCACGATATGACAATTATCGATGTATTGGTCAAAAATATAAAATGCCAATTTATGGCATAAAGAAAAGAAATATGTGAAGTGAAAAAATACACTTTATTTCATGATAAATGGAATGGAGATGCGTAATGTAGCCATATATTAAGTATTGATACTAATAAAGAATAAAAAAAATAATAATAATTATAATATGGATATATTTTTTTCAAAATCGGTATTGATACTTGGCAAATGCATATCGATAATCGAATCGCGGGAGAAAGTATCGCACTTTGTTTTGTCTTTTCACCCATTGTACCAAACAAGAAATGTAAATAAGTAAATAATAATAACAACAATAATAATAATAAATGAATAAAAAAGGCCTGGGTTAACTTTAAAGTAGCAGTATGTAAGATTTTCATGTCCAGTCATCATTAAAGGGCCCTAATCTGTCATCATTAAAGGGCCCTAATCTGTCATCATTAAAGGGCCCTAATCTGTCATCATTAAAGGGCCCTAATCTGTCAACATTAAAAGGTACACTGTGTAATTTTTAGTGCCATCTAGCGTTGAGATCTTATATTGCAGTCTAATATAGTACGGAAGCCTTTTAGTTGAGGAGCACGTCTGTGTCTTTAACGACAAAACAAGGAATAAAACCAGGATTTCTATCTTTGTGAAAAAGGTGTTGGTTATAGATTTGTTGTTGACAAAACTCTTGTTTATTCAGCTGTTATGGTCCCAGCTGGATTTGTCTGCATATCTGGCAACCCGAGACAGGGAGAGTGGGAGAGGCTGCAGTACCACTTTTGGACACATTTTACATACTGCTCCTTCACCCTGTAGCTGTGCATTTTGATTTTTTTTTTTGCATTGCTCTGTGGGTGTGGTGACTGTACACCCTTGGGTGCCTGCCCCACCCTATTTAAGAGGACTTCCTGGTGCTCTTTTCATGTTTGCTTGATGAAGGCATAACGCCGAAACGTCGCAATTTAAATAAATAATTTTTAATTTGCAAGTAAGACGGTGTGCGGGATTATTCTCTCTCTGACATACTGCTCCTTTAACTCACAGATATAATCATTTTGTCAAACAAATCTACAGCTAGTGCCATATGGAGAAAAGAAAAAGGAGATAAAAATTCATACCTAGATAATAGCCTAGACCTAATGTGATAAAAGTTGAGCTCTGTACCTTCACTGCCAAAGTCTGGTTTAAACGCCTTTTTCTCCTTGAAATTCTTGAAGATTTTGACTTTGTTATTGCCTTCTCGAATGGCGTATCTGCAACAAAGGCCGAGGTTTAAAACTATCCAAACTTTAGTCCAATAAAAAATGTCTTGTCTTGACTCACTGTGAGGAATCGTGGGCCCAGACAAACTCCAGAGCCGTTCCAAAGCTTTTGTTCCTCAAGGCCACAGCGGTGTAGATAATGTACTCTCCGTCTCCACACACCACCACGAATCTGAAAAATATACCCCAATAACATCATTTATCATTTAAGCCGGAGACAGACCACTTCTGGAATCTCTTGTTTGTAATTCTGAAACATAGAAAAAGAGCAGAGCATGTCTAAAAACAAGAGAGACGGTGTATTTCGCAAACAATAAACTATTTATTTTATGATTTACACATGAGAGTAATGAGGCTGATGAGAGAGGGCGTCAAAGGCACCAATGAGAGCGTAGATGAACTTGGCGATCAGCAGATTTTCTTTCCTACGAGTAAAAATGTCTGGTCTCATGTGTGTACATTTTACACATGCATGAATTAGTTTTAGTAAATAGGACGAGTGTGTAAGTATCAAAGGCAGCGATAAAACTCCAGATAATCACAATCAAATCAAAATTGCGATTTTAGAGGCGGTGTAACGCCGAAGAGATGCACTGCCTCAGCTGTTTATGATGTAATGCAAACCTGCGCATGCGTGTCTCCCGGCAGCCGAAGCATACCAAGATGGCGGACCGTCAATGGCTTTATAAGTTAAAATACGAACGAATTAAGACACGAATGTCACTTTTAATGCAATTTTAGGCGAGATGTTGATGGTTCCGTTTTGTCACATGTGGGTTTTAAGAGCCAAAGTTTCGTGCAAAGTTTTGTTTAAGCAGTCAACTGGGCCTGTGAAACCACAAAGCTAATGTTTTCATAGCAGCCTCCACGGCTGCTGACGTAGGCTGATGACACGTCCTGTGGCAACTCTACAGATTACAACTGGTCTGTCGGGTTGATAATGGAAATAATTAATTTAATTTAATGCATGTATCGTACTGTATTCAATATGATTAACAATGGTGTGTTCAAACGAAATATTTAATTAGTTCAATTTTTTCCCCATTTTCCATTATCAACCCGACGGACCAGTTGTAAGTTGTAGAGTTGCCACAGGACGCGTCATCAGCCTACGTCAGCAGCCGCGGACTGCTATCAACACAGCAGCAGTGTGGTTTCACAGGCCCAGTTGACTGCTTAAACTAAACTTTGCACAAAACTTTGACTCTTAAAACCCACATGTGACAGCACGGAACCATCAACATCTCGCCTAAAATTGCATTAAAAGTGACATTCGTGTCTTAATTCGTTTGTATTTTAACTTTTAAAGCAGTTGACGGTCCGCCATCTTGGTATGCTTCGGCTGCCGTGAGACGCGCATGCGCAGGTTTGCATTACATCATAAACAGCTGAGGCTGTGCATCTCTTCAAGGCAGTGTATCTCGGCGTTACAGCGGCAATTAGTAAAGCACAACAACTGTAATTATTTAGATTACATTATTTCCTTTACAAACAAAAACTGATTAAAAACAGGGCTAAAGCTGTGTGTGGAGCTCTGAAAGCATCAGTGTAACCGTTACTATCTTTATGAAAGCCTGTATTTGTTTTTCTATCATTATGAGGGAATTTTTACTGTTTAATTTGCAATGGAAAAGTCCAGTCTGATCCTCCTGCTGGTCCCAGAGTCAGGACTAAACATGGGGACACAGCATGTCAGATTTATGCAGCTAAAATCTGGAACAATCTTCCTGAAAATGTGAGACAGGCCTCTTCTCTGTTTAAATCCAGGTTAAAACAGTTTTGTTTTGCTGCTACAACTGAAGGATTTATGTTTTCACTATTTTTAATGAACTGTGATTGTTGGTGATTCTAAATCCTTGTGTGATTGTGATTCTATCTTGTTTGAGTTGCATTGTGTATGAACTGTGCTATACAAACCACTTTATTTATATAGCACACGTAATAAAACAAAGAGCGGCATGGATAGTCTGCAGCTTTAAATAAAATAAATTAAAACATTAAACAAATCTAATTAAAAAATCTATTAAAATAAAATAAAAACTATTCATTTATGTAATATATTTCTTTATTTGAACAAAAAAACAATAAAATAAAAATAAACATTGCCACAGTGGGATTACACACATGAATGTGCTCGTCATTGTTCATTAAAAAACAAATGGACGAGATATAATATTATACAATCAAACTGTAGAATGAGGCCCATAATTAAAGTCGTTTTTGCTTATGTCCAAACCTGTCTCCATAAAACCTACAAACCCTCACCTGCCGTTGGGGCTGTGCTGGATGGTCTGGGGGAAGATCTCGCAGCTGCCCATGTCCTTCACCCCCAGAGGAAGCCTCTCTCCGTCCCTGACCTCTGCGTCGCCCAGAGCCTTCAGATTCGCCTGCTGGACCTCTGAGTGTCGTGCCCACATCACTTTCCCACTGGAGTCCATGGACATGGCCGGCTCCTCTCGCCCCAACTGTGAAAGACACATTTCAATACAAGCTACAGGCATCAGATCTGCTTGTTTTCGGAGATTATCCTTGTGTTGGTGACATAGTGGTGCAGTGGTTAACAATCTCGCCTCAGTAAATATTAGGGTCGAAAATATGGGGTATTTCTGGAAAGTTTCCAGTAAATTCCCATGGGAAGTTAAGGGGAATTAGTTGTAAAGTAAATATATTGTATCATACCCAAGCTTAAATGTAAAGTTAAAATTGTCATAAGTCATAAGAAAACACCAAGTCAAGATTTAGAGCTAAAATATACTGTCCTCAGCTATATTTACTGTATTCATAACTTTACATTTTGAAAGTTCCCAATTAGTTCCCGTATTTCAGAATCAGAATCAGAATCATTTTTATTGCCACGTGAGTAACAGGAAGTCACTGACTTGGAAATTGCTTTGGCTCAGTGCAACAGTCAGAAAGAGAAAGAATAGAGAATAGAGTAGGGCATAAAAAAATCAGCATACATTTCTAAGGAATAACATTTAAAGTAGAGTAATTACAATTACAATAACTATGTTAATTCCCTTAAAATTCCATTCATTCCCATGAGAAGTTTTCATCTTTGAAAGTTCTTGGAGTTTTGCAACCCTGGTAAGAATACACTGGTTCAGATCCTTTCATTTTGCCATTTGCAGTTTGAATCCACGATGGAATAACAATTGTACCAAATATAAAAAGCCTCCAAAGTAGTGATGGGTCCAGCAACACTGATACACCGGCGCATGTGCCGAGTTCGTTTAGCGAAACCTCGTATCGGCGCGCGTGTCGCTTTATGAAAAAGCCACGTGACCGATACAGCCGCAGTGACGGTTGTCACCGACATGGCAAACTGTGTTTAAAAGGTTCCGCATCTGCAAGTGTCACCGGTATGAACCGCTCTCAGAAAAAGAAAATAACCCTTTCAAAAAGGAAAAACATCCAATTTTACAGCATCAAAATGGAACCAGCCACTAAAAGAAAGTATTCTGCAGTGTGATACAGCAAATAAGGCAATGTTTGTATTTTACATTTCACGCTTTATCTACAATCAACATTTAGTTTGAAACGGAAAATCTAGATAGGCATGGTGGATGAGTGGATAGCGCTCTCGCCTCGCGTTTAAAGAGAACCGGGTACGAATCCCTGTCGGACCTAAAAAGTTTATGTTGACATCACAGTCTTGAAGAATGATTTCGAAAAATTGAAGCGTAGAAAATGTCAAAGGTTTTTTCAAGTATACTTTAGTTGCCAGGGTTTACGGTGCACTTTGGACATGCTTATTGTTTTGAAAAATAAAAAAAAAATAAAATCACTCAATGACATTTTGCTTCATGAATGCATTCACAACTATCACTTTAATTTTCACATAAAAAATAAAATAATAACACAGACAATGCAGTAACGTAATATTGTGTACAGACAAGTATGTAAAGCTCATTGAATCAGTGAGTTGGATGCAATGATTTATAAGATCCACCAGGCGTCAGTATAGAGCAGCACAAGCAACACTGTTGCGAACAGTATCAATACAGTTCGTTGGATGTGCCGAAACGATACGTGAGGTTTCATTTACCCATCACTACTCCAAAGACACCTGTCCTGCGCAAAGGGTAAAATATATAACAGGTAGAATTGATAATAACCTCAACTTTTATACTTTATCATGTCTTTGCACAGTGCATCTTGACATGATCAAAGCTTTATTCCATGGGAAGTAACGCTGGGGAATTTTGAGAATATTCTATGGCTGGGAATTAGCTGTAAAGTATTGCATCATATCCAAGCTTAAATGTAAAGTTATAAAAGTCAGAACTCATAATAAAACACCAAGTCAAGATTTAGCGCGCAAAGATACTGTCCTCAGCTATATTTACTATATATATATATATATATAACCTTACATAATGGAAGTTCCCAATTAGTTCCCATACATTCCTGGAGTTTTGCAACCCTGGTAAGAATACACTGGTTCAGTTCATTTCCTTTTGCCATTTGCAGTTTGAATCCACGATGGAACAATAACTGTAGTACATAAACATTTGACGCTGGGAAGGAGCTAAAAAAAAACACATACTTAAAGCGACAACATGCAAGATTAACCTTTATGGACTCCACGGGGAGCGACAAATGACAACGACAAGGTAAAAACTTGAAAATGTAATAATTTGCTGGTTGTAGTTTGTCGGAGAATGCGATAGTAAAATAATCTGTTCTGGTTCAATCCAAATATCAAGAAACTGAAGCCGGAGAAAGAGGAATGTTTAGTAAATGTCATTGAAGCAAAGATGTTGTGGCTCTACTCCCCACGGGCTCCGTTAGTGGCAAAGGAGATGGCTAAAGCTAGGCTAGATGCTAATGCTAGACTAAACGCTAAAAGCCTCACTCAGGCTCATTACATACGTCACGGTAAACTCAGTTCCAATGGTTTCAATCTGTAAAAGGAGTTAACCCCTCCCACCTGTTAACGGAGTCAATTCAGACCAAACGAAATGAGTGCCATGGTTTGGTAAGACCAGGCGAGTAATGTCTCATTCCCAAGTCTGAAAATGTTCAGTTATTTTCCAATATCTCCCACTAACTTACAGAAGCCTTAACACATATTTATATATACAGTATATACAGTATATTATCATTGAACTCATCTCCAACAACGATGAGTCCGCCTACAGGAGGGAGGTGGACTGGCTGGTGTCCTGGTGCAGTGGTAACAACCTGGAGCTGAACGCCCAAAAGACAGTGGAGATGATTGTGGACTTGAGGAAGAGCACAGTCCCCCCGCTAGGGTTTAATATTTTTCCCGAAAATTAGACGTATCAAATCCCGGGAAAAGACGACGCCTTTCCCGGGAAATCCCGGGAAATAGCAGTTGTTTGTAGTTGTTGTTTTTAGCCCAAGTAATGTATGATATTACTCAAATATATAATCCAACAAAAGCTGCCCACAGCTCTCCACTAGTGTTTCACCAAGCGACTTGCTAGCTTTGCTAAAGTAGCCATAGCGTTTTCAGACGTTTTGTTGATGGGCTTTCTTCAGGAATTTCACTATTGAGATTCTAAATGTCTGCGCAATCCAATTGTCGACCAGTGACGTGCGGTGTGGTTTGGACTTTGGAGGCACTGACTTCAGCCCAATCAGATGAACATATATCATATAAATCAACAGAACCTACAAAGCGGTTTATTCACAATTAGTTTGGCTACAGCAGAATGTTTTCCATGGCCCGCATTGTTTGCTCATACAAAACGCAAAAGTTCGTAAAAGGCACATTTCCAATTGTGTTATGGGTCTTACCTTAGTTATTAAAGGAATAGTTCACCGTTTTTACATACTGACATATGTTCTTACCTTACCTTAGACTAGTTAATATGTACCTGTCTGGTCTTAGTCCGTGCGCTCTGTCATGCAAACGGAGCAAAAACGGGAGCACAAACGGGAGCACAAACGCAACCTCCTCTGTATACTGTATAGTACCCAAAAGGTAGCTCCCGCTAGAAGCTACCAAACTCTTCCAAGTGTTCCCTATTAAATGTATATAGTTACGTGACGTGTTACACTGCAAAGTATAGTAACACAGAAATGTAACTGTCGATTTTCTCAGCGGATAAAACGGGTACTATATTGTGAGGCGTAGTAATCTGAGGAGCGCTACGTCCGCGCACTAACTTCTCTCCGTACTACAAGTCACGCTGCTTCTATTGACGGAAGTGAGCGAGAGAGAAGTCTCCGGAGAGAAGTTAGTGCGCGGACGTAGCGCTCCTCAGATTACTACGCCTCACAATATAGTACCCGTTTTATCCGCTGAGAAAATCGACAGTTACATTTCTGTGTTACTAATATTTGATTATATAAATGCATTTTATATTATCTTAAAATGTGTTATATGTATGTTAGCCAAACCTGTTGCTGCCCTTAGCAGATGGAAAAAAAAGAAAGGAGCTTTCTGATAGAATTGGATGTAGCCGAATTCTGGGCTCACATGTGCCCCGTACCCTGAGGCTGGCCTCATTACAAGTCGTGGTTTAGCGGGATTAAGACCCATATTTGTTGTCAAAAACACAATCTATGAGCCATCCTCTCAGCTGTAGACATGTTGATTGTAAATGAAATATGTTTGAACTTTGAACAACAATAAACGTGCTCTATAATAGGAGCGCACTGGATTTTTAAAAAACCTTTTATTTCCCGTTTCCCGTCATAACATTTCCCGAGAATCGGGAAATAGTCTTGATCAGATTTCCCGAGAATCCCGTGTCCCGGGACTTGGGATTTCCCCCATCACCTCTGTGGAGTCCTAACGTTTCTTGGGCACCAACATCACCAAGGACCTCAAGTGGGAGCCGACCATCAGCTCCCTCATCAAGAAGGCCCAGCAGAGGATGTACTTCTGCGGCAGCTCAGGAAAGCCAAGCTGCCTGCACAGATGTTGGTGCAGTTCTACACGGCCATCATCGAGTCCATCCTCACCTCCTCCATCACCGTGTGGTTCGCTGGAGCCACAGTCAGGGACAAACAGAGACTACAGCGCATCGTGCGCTCTGCAGAGGAAGTGATCGGCCGCAGCCTTCCATCGCTGCAGGACCTGTACGTCGCCTGAGCTCGAGGCTGGGCTGGTCGTATCACAGCCGACCCCTCTCACCCTGCACATGGACTATTCCAACCACTCCCCTCAGGCAGGAGGCTGCGGTCCATCAGGACTAGAACCTCACGCCAAAAGAACAGTTTCTTCCCCTCTGCTGTTGGACTCTTGAACACTTCTTAACCTGTCCCCCCGCCCTTTATAAAGTCACTTTACTGCCCATCATACGTCACTTTACTTCACTGTACTGCTGTCACCTTACATTGTGTGCACCATGTGCACTTGTATATTGTATATAGTAATTGGAACTCTATTTTAAATGTATTCCTTAGAAGTGTTTTTTATTTTTTATTTTTTATTATGCCCTCTCTACCCTTACCTCTCTTTCTGACTGTTGCACTGAGCCAAAGCAATTTCCAACTCTGTGACTTCCTGTTACTTACGTGGCAATAAAAATGATTCTGATTCTGATTCTGATCAGGGCGCATCGGCTGTCAGCGGTGGTTACTTTATCCCAGATCAGTTTTAAATCTCGATATTTGACTTCACCTTGATGATGATGCTGCCTTCGTCGTAGCCCAACGCCACACTGTTGGAGCCGGACTGACTGCAGATGCACCAGACCCTCTCCAGACCATAGTTCAGGGTGTTCTCCAGCCTGTACGTGTTGGAGTGCCACACACGGACAGTCCCTGACAGAGAAACAGGAAATAAATTATTCTATTCTTTATCAGGGACAAGAGAACTACTGTATGTGGGAAACAAGGGCATTACCGTCTTCGGAGCCGGTGAGGATGATCGGGAGCTCCGGATGGAAGGAAACACAGGTGACATTCTGGGCGTGGCCTTCGAGAGTCTGAACACAGGTTTTGTTCTGAGGAAAGACGACACAATGATTAAACTATAAGTGATGAAGCGATTCCACCTACAGAGCCAATATATGTAACTGTATATTCTATGTATAATGTAAAGGAAAAATACAAAAAATGTAGAATCGATTTGACAAGCATTGTGTGTAACTCATAGCACCTTCAAGCTCCCAATCTAATTCAGGCTGAGTTTATACTGAGACGCTGCGCAGGCGTTTCCAGGCTATTAACAGAAACGACCAGGCTCCTAATGCAAATTTCTCAGCGTTCATATGAGGTTGAAAAACAATGTAGTTCTAGCGCCCGGCCAGTAGTGGGCAGATAAACTTTACAGCCCACACACGAGACCCCCAGCCCTGTGCCCAGCCCCCCCCCGGCAGTATTCTCACTTCTAGGGGTGGGAACCTAAGGGTACCTCACAATACGATACACGATACAAAGCTCACAATAACGATAATATCACAATAACGATTTTATCACGATATGACGATTATCGATATATTGGTCAGAAATATAACATATGCCAATTTGAAAAAAATACACTTTATTTCATGATAAATGGAATGGAGATGCGTAATGTAGCCATATATTAAGTATTAATAATAATTTTAAAAGATTTTTTTTTTAAATAAAAGTATCGCGATATATCGATATATGGTCACACCCCTACTCACTTCCTCTAGAGACGCGGAAGAACGCACCAACATCATTCTGCATTTTAACAGCAGCTGTGAAAATGGAAACTGAAACTAGAGCTTCGCGTGGTCTTGTTTGGACGAACGAAAGTGTAGAATTATCCTCTGTGCAGCGCTGGAAGCCCACAAAGCTCGTAAGTGTGACCGCCGCCATTGTTGTTTATGTTTGTTCTCCGCTACTGCGCATGTCCAAATTTACGTGCGGGGAGCAGCGTGGGGGTCAGAGCAGAGGGGGATTTCACAACTTTCCCCCAGGGTGTGAAAGAGCTCCCTGCTGTGCAGCGTATCCGAGTTGTCCCACTTTGCAGGCTGGATCTGAACACTTACGTTTTGACCCCCCTGGAACACAGTCTTCGTATGAACGCTTGGTAGAAACCGACATCCAACTATACCGTTTTACTGCCACATGGTCTCCGTGTAAACTCAGCCTGAGCTGTCCCACTTTGCAGACTGGATCTTAACTCTTACGTTTTCACCCCCCTGGAACACAGTCTCCGTATGAACGGTTGGTAGCAACCAACATCCAACTATAGTGTTTTACTGCCACATTGTCTCCGTGTAAACTGCCCCTCAGACATCTATGTCAAAACCCATCAGAGAATTACAAATTATAACATAGTTTACGAGTGTGTTTTGTTTTTTTCAGGCTAAAATCAATTATAGTTTTGCCTTCCACATGACTGCAGGTCCCTGAGCAGAGTCCTCACAGACCTGATAGTCCCATATTTTGACCATGTGGTCGTCAGCCCCAGAGATGAGATAAGGCTTATCTCCTCCGCTGTAGTAGTCCAGGCAGTTCACTCCCTTCTCGTGGCCCTCCAGGGTGAAGTTTGGAGCTTTGGATCCCAGCTGCCACACCTTAGACACACAACATGACCACACAATGTAAATATTAGGGCTGTCAAACGAATATTTTTTTTTATTACAGCTTAAAAATTAATGAATTGCAATTAATGGCATTTCAAACTATCGGCAAAATTATGCCATATTTTTCTGTAAATGGTTGTTGGAATGGAAAGATAAATGACAACATAGTGTACATATGCACTGTATGTTTATTATAAAGATAAGTCCACATAAAATGGCATTAACATTATTAACATTCTGTCTTTCTGTAGTAGACACTATTTTTTCAGCTCGACATATTCCGCATCTGCTAGAGCCTCCTCTTCTTCTTCTCTGTCTCATAAAGGCTGTGGATTTTCAGCATCTACAGCTAGTTATGTTAGCTAAGAAACATAGCAACTACTTATTTGTATATATTGTGTGTGCTCCCTGTGTCCTCTTACTACTGTCCTATATGTGCGATGCAACATCAAAATTTCCCCACTGTGGGACGAATAAAGGAATTCTTATCTTATCCTCTTCATTATTGTGCCTCTACAAACTATTGTTTGTTACAGACATTTGAAAAAAGTCTGAAATGCATGTCAGCCAATGGCTGTCATTAAATCTGTTTGATTTGCTGACAACATTTTACTTTGGGCAAAAACAACATGAAATGGTAGTACAAAAGAAAAGTTAGGTACCCCAGCTTTAATTTAGCGTCTTCTTTTCGCTTCGGGAGAAGACACAAGGGAGACGGACTGTTTCTTGCAGCGCTGTTTTTATCAGTGCACACAGTGGTCCTGTGTGTATGTATATGGTCATGGGTACATGGTTACGGCTGTACGCTCCTGTGCTGTTGAAAGCCGCTCACAGCTACAGGACTGTCCAAAGCGGCCGCAGCTGCCCCAGAACGCTGCAGACTCCCATTCACAGCAATTGCCCCGCGGTCACGCGCGCGGGGTGCTCGTCACTTGGCACATGCATTAAAAGCGATTAATGAAAACATTTAATTAACGCACGTTAACACGATAACTTTGGCAGCCCTAGTAAATATACAACACACTTTACTCCGACTTTGTCCCATCCCCTCATGATGCGAACATGTACCGATGTAGACATACCACTATGCATTTCATCTTACTAGCTTATTTATTATGCTAAAGCTAGAGATTTTATACTAGCTTCTTTATTATACTAAAGCTAGAGATTTTATACTAGCTTCTTTATTATGCTAAAGCTAGAGATTTTATACTAGCTTCTTTATTATGCTAAAGCTAGAGATTTTATACTAGCTTCTTTATTATGCTAAAGCTAGAGATTTTATACTAGCTTCTTTATTATGCTAAAGCTAGAGATTTTATAATAGCTTCTTTATTATGCTAAAGCTAGAGATTTTATTTTAGTATAGAGCGATTGTTCAGTTATTTTGTGTTGTGAGAGCTCTTTAACTTACTCTTATCTTAATAAAGTTTCCACTTGTTTGACTTTATCCCCTCAAGCAGTTTCGTCACACATTATTTGTTTAGGAGTTTTTCCGAGTGTATCTTGGGTCAACATTACTACGATGTGGTTCTGCTTCTAAAGCTGAGGTACCTGAATCCAAGCAGCAAAATGACAGCGTTGCTGTTTAAATCCAACTAACCTGTATTTATCAGTCCCAAAGCGGTTGGAACACCTTTAGTATCCTCATGTTTACATTTTTGGGCATTAGAAAAACCTTAAAGCACATTTTTATCTATTTTATTTCGATCGACAACACGTTTTTAAACATGAGGCCAATAAACTTTCAGATCACAGAGTTACTAACTACTGTATTAATGTGATCAGGGTTTTAGTTTGATCTTAAATGTTGCAGAAGCCCTTTGTTCCTAATGCACTGCCTTGAGTTGAGATTTATTTTTGAATGAAGAGAAGACAATACGTATAATTCATTTATTTATTTCACAGTTAAGTTACCATTTTGGATAGGAATTGAAAACTAATGTGACAGAAGCCTTTGTTCCAACTTGAACTGACTCCTCTTTGAGATTCAATAAAAAAAGGAAATTGCTATTTATCCTGTAAAAAATGTTGAGATATATATTGCATATAGGAGATATAAAAAACTATATGGAGATATATTTTATTCTCGTCCAGCCCTAGGAGAGAGTCCAGTATCAGATAAATACCTTGATGGTTCTGTCCAGAGAAGCGCTGGCGAACTGGTTGTTGTCTTTGGGGTTGATGACGATCTGCATGACGTAATGTGTGTGTCCCTCAAAAACCTGGCAACAAATCCACTTCCTGTCCCAGTCCCACAGTTTGATCAACATGTCGTCTGCAAAACCAGGAGAGCATATGTTCATTACTTTATTAGCTCATTGGCTCATTAGCTCATTAGTTCATTAGTTCATTAGCATGGGATGTGTGCAAAGTTTTAGAGAATCTCTCACACGCACACAAATCTCTCCATCTCTCATACACACAAATCTCTCTATCCATCTCACACACACGCACAAATCTCTCACTCACACACACAAACACACATCTCTCTCTCACTCACTCACACACAGACATCTCTCCCTCTCTCTCTCCCACCTTAAATCTCCAACTTTAGCATAATGACACTTATGCACCTGCTGTAACAGTGTGTTTGGACTTTAAAACGTTCCTCTTTTCTTTACCAACTCAAAACAAAAAATATTTGAATATAGGATGTCTAAATCTAAATCTTAATCCTAATCTTTCTTGTGTACCGCTGCTGGTGAGGATGTAGGGCTGTGACGGATGGACAGCGATGCAGCGGATGTAGTCTGCGTGGGCCTCGAACATATGGACTCTCTCCAACGTGTTGTAGTTAAACACTCGGATCTGCATGTCGTCCTGCGGAGAAGAGAACGGAATATAAATATAAATACAAATATGATTATCACAGGTACATTAAAAAGAGATAGAGTCACTTACTGCTCCGGCAATGACCCAATGTTTCCGGGCCACAAACTTTGCCACTCGCACGGGGAGGTCACACAGCTCAAAGGTTTTAACAATACTCTGCAGAGTCAAAAAGGTTTGTGAGAAACTAGTGGGTTGCCATGTCAGGAAACAGGTGCAAATTAGACACCAAAACACAACATTTAAAATACAGACGGTAAAACTCAATGTAACAACACAAATGAGAAAAAAGGAAATGGCCAAATGTTTTCTCAGATCATTATTTGATATTGATAAGATTTATAAACCTGTCATATCATTCTCATGTCTCAATTTTGAATATTGTCACCACTTCTAGACACCTTTAATGAGAAAATGATTTAACCATATTTATTTGCAAAAACATTTATTTCTGTTTTGAAAAATTGTAACAAAGTTGTATATCTGTTCTGTTAGATATTTATTTATTTATTCAACCTTAATAAAACCAGGAAAGTCCCAAAGATATTTCAGATTCTGTCTTTCAGAGAGAAGGGAGGATGTGTAGTGTAGTAGTAGGTGTTTTTAAGCTACATGTTTTTAGCGATTTTAAGATACAGATTAAGAGATCCTTTATTCGTCCCACAGTGGGGAAATATCAAATTTTAAGCTGAGCATGTTTAAAGATACACTGTGTAGTGCTTACTCTCATCTAGCGTTGAGATCATATACTGTATTGCAGTCCTTTGGTACTACGTAGCTCGGAAGGATAATATGTCGTCTTTGACAGTGGTCCCCAACTCCTGGTCATTCGAACCAGGGCCAAAGAAAGATTCTTTTAGTTTGATAAATGACAGACTTTTTTTTTTCATTGTTGCACAAAAATGTAAACAACTTTAAATGTCCCTTATCAACCAACGTATTTGAAGATGGTGCATTGACCTGGATACCACTCCAGCCTCATGGAAATTTTTAAATCAAATTCTAAGTCTATGAAAACAATTCAAAAACATGGTGGAGGTAAATATTCTTAAAAAGGTCACATTTGTTTTTGGTTAACATATTTTTTTAAAAATTTGGAGCAACTGTAAAAATGACACAGAGTGCCTTTAAGCTCTCTACATATATACAGTATGTTTTGGTACCTGTGACTGGTGGTTCCAGACGACCACGGTACCGCTGTAGAGGCTGAGGACCATCCATGGCTCTGAGGGGTGCAGGTCCACGCTCTTCACTCGGTCTGAGCGAGCTGTCAGCTTTCGCTTGATGTCCAGACGCAGAGGCTGAAGTGTGGGACAAACACGGGACGTAAGTGACTATTACTGTCTACGACTGACAGCTCTGGGAGCGGAGCATGATTTAAAAACATACAGTGAGACATATTTCATAAATAAACTGCTATTTCATCTGGAGAAACTTTGAGAAATATGACTATAATACACAGAGTACTTTTCTGGTCCTGTCGTTTCCATATGAGATTCAAGAAAGTGAGTAAGTAATCTATATTTATATACCGCGTTTCACAGACCAGAGTCACTAAGCGGTTTACAATTGTCATTTCTCTCTCACTCCACACAGAGAGCGGGGTCGCCAGTGCAGGAGGCACATGCCAGAACTATTGCACATGTTTTTAGTGGTAGGGGAAACCGGAGCACCCGGAGGAAACTTAGGCAGACACAGGGAGAACATGCAAACTCCACTCAGAAAGGCCCTGTTCCAGCCGGGATTCGGTACCCGGGGACATTCTTGCTGAGAGGCAAGAGTGCTATCCACTCAAATCACAATTGATTCATTGAAAGACTAATTCATTTTATAGATTATCACTATAATCCTTAATTACAGCCCTTAACTTGTTAATTATGAACTTGCATGATCATTTTCAAACAGTCTAGCTTAGCAATAACAAAACCTCTCATTAGAAACAAATTGGTAGTAGACCCTACAGCAGGGGTCAAAAGATTTGAGAATTAAACACATGATTCTGAATGATTCCCTTTTCTACTTTAACTATAAATCTTGATACTGTACTGTCCTGGTATATTATGCATTTTTGTTGTTCATGGCTGTATTTGTAAAATATAGACTACAATTGTATAACCACTAAATGAGTAGCTCTATGCCATTTCTGTTTTTATAAAAGTAGCTCTCCAATCAAATAAGGTTCTCTCATGGCAGATTTATTTGTATCACACAATTCATACAAAGGGAAACTCAGAGTGCCTCAAAAACAAGAGAGAAAACATTATAATCATAAAAACTAAAATCATAAATAATCAAGATGTGAAACATTGATATTAGTTATTTTAACAAAAGAATAGAGAAATGCTCCTTTTAATATAGATTCACATTCAATATTTACACAGCTACATTCCATTGCTTGATCCAGCACAAAATGTTCACCTATGTATATAATGTGTTAGTATTGTGGTAATGTAGAATTGTAGTAGCTGTGCATGAGTAGGCCTAGTTTAAAGTATATATTCTCATCTCTTGTGTATATAGTAACCAGAATAACCTGTCATAATGATGTTTGTAATGTAATATATTTCAGGTTGAGTGAGAAGGAGGTGTGTCAGTCTGAGCACATCACATATGCATGCCTGCTTTTCAATGCACTTACAAAAATAAATGTTAAAATACAGTGCTACAGCTACGCACACTATGCTAGGTCTGTTATTAGCATTTTTTGTAGGTGAATGGAAAAAAATAGCGAATGAAAAAACTCCTGGTTGCATTTAAAGTTTACATTTAGACAAAGGTACACGTCGCACTAAAGAGACACACGTTAAAAACACGATACAATAAATACATATTAAACTCACCATGTTTCTGCGTAAGTGTGTATTTACGTTGTGCTTTACTAAAAGTTGTCACTCCCAAAACCAAAACTTCAATGAACCAAATCCAAAGAAAATAACTTTTGTGGTGACTCCAAACAACTTCCGCTATCACCGTGTCACAATAAACCACGTTACGTTTATGTCGTAAACTTGGCTGCATCCAAACTTAAACAAAATACTTCCTTGCTTTACTTCTCCTGCACTTAAAATGCTATGTTTTGTTAGCTTCAGGTTTGGTCACGTTTTGAAACTGTTATAACAATGTTTAAATACAACTTGGGTCAAGCTTAATCTTAGTTATAGACATAAAATGGGAAAAAGTATTTGGCAAGGAAAAAATGTATTGATTTTGGATGTAGCCATAGACTCCCAGAAGTATATCATTGCTCAGTCGATGATTTTGAATCTTTTTAATACTGTATTACATATTAGGTGTTAGCTACGCATTGTGTATTCGTTGTTATTGTGTATTACAATTATAAGATTCTGTACATATAATTTAGCCAAAAAATAGGCAGATAAATACGATTGTGTTCATCTTTCATTGTAAAAATGTGTGTCTTAAATGTGAGTGGGGGTGCAACTCTACAAACTTAGTTGTATAGAATGGCCTCCCTCTGTTTGTTGATCCTTTGGCCTTAACCCTTTACAATGGTTTTAACTTGTTTTAACTTTGTACAGTTTTAACTTGTCCAAATCCTCCCCCCTATGGGACAACATATTTGCTATATTCTCACATTATTTTCATCCTTTGTTTTTTTTTCTTTTCTAATTAATGATATTGGATCACATCCAATCGCACACCAGATAAAATCTCAAGGCACCCTAACCGGCCGTGGCCCACCGTTTGAAAAAACACTGTCTTGAACTATGCTATGTATAAACACACATCTTTTCCTTTCTTTTTGTATAGTTGCAATAATATATGAACTGCATAAATACATGTCCTTTCCTTTATTATTGAACACATTTTTGTTGAAAAGGGAAAGAGCTGTTTCCGGTATGAGGCACGTGCTGATGTTTAACTTGACGCAGGTTGTTTTCTGCGACGTGGATCCTGCGCGTTTCCGGTGCGTGGATCTAAGTACACGCTGTACCTGGATCTCTGACACTTTTCACTTTACAGCTGTTCTGAAGGAAACGGACACCATTTAGCAGCAAATAATTTAATAAAAATGATAATGTCATATCTCTGTTGTTTATGATTTGGACTCACTGAACTTCAAAAACAAAGTCCAAACTACAACTAATGTTTCAGCAGCGCACTCTTCATTCATGATTTTAGATTCTTAGTTTTGTGTCTGTCTGAGTGTGTGTGTCCTGAACTGAATGTGTGTGTGTATCCTGAATTGTGAAGCGTCTTTGAGTTCTTGAAAAGTATTATTACTATTATTATTATTATTATTATTACAATTATTCCGTAATTGTAGCTGTTTGTCACCAATGCCTTTTCTGTTTAGTGTTTGGGTAATTTCACCACATGTGTCAATCATTTAAACAACAAGACTGCTTTTATTGTGTTTTTGTAGCATATCTATTCGCCTTTTTAGCCTTAAAGGCGCTATACCCGAAACCTTTGTGAGCTAACTATTTTATTTGCAGTCATTAAATACATTTCGAATTATAAGGGCTGTCTAATATTTGTTCGAATATATATATATTTTTTCTAATTTTAGAATTATATTCGAATTTAGAGGCCGAAGCCCTAGTGTAGTGGCTAGAGGACGCAGGCTGTTCGCTGCTCGTTCTGTGAGTGGAGGAGAACGAGCGGCCCGCTAAGACTCCACTCAGCACTTTTCACGGCAGCAAACTCATACACCGCTGAATCAATTACCTCAAGTTTTTAATTAAATTATAGATTATAATACAACCTGTATGTAGTAATAAGCATTTTTATGAACTACTTAGAAAAAAAATCGGGTATAGCTTCTTTAATCAGTTCATTATTATTATTATTTGTACTATTTTTGTTGTTAAACTCAGTATTCATTTATTCCTTAAACAAATTGAATTGAAGAGGAACAGAAGGAAGAAAAGTGTTAAAATAAAAATAAGTGTAATCATTTCTTGATAAGTCTAGATAAAAAGCATACCGAAACATTGCCCTAAAACAAAAAAACAAAACTGAAGTCTTGTTTATGCTGATATTTCACAGTGAGAATGTAAGTGATCTGTATTTATATATTTATCAGAGTCACAAAGCTCTTTATTGTGGGCATTGGTCGTCATACAGGAGGCCCATGCCAGACATATTCTACATGTTGTTTAGTGGTAGGGAAAACCGGAGTACCTGCAGGAAACTTACACAGACACGGGGAGAACATGCAAACTCCACACACAAAGGCCAGGAGGTGAAACCCTTGACCCTCTCGCTGTGATACACAATGGCCAACCACTGCACCACAAAGTAAACCCTGTGTCTTTGCTGCTTCCACACAGTAAGATCCGACTCACACATGTTTAAAAATGTTTATTAAAAGTGCAGTATAAATAGAAAGGGTCAAAGGCAGCGCAGTCCCGGAGTCCTCAGGCTTTCTTGAAGATCTGGTGGCAGACTTTGTCCTGGACCGTGATTTCCTGAAGACAATACAACCTTTAGACGTGACGCAACAGCTGCTAATCAGAGCCATTAGGCCTGGACCTCAGATAACACACAAGACAACACTTATTATTTGGTTTAAGGAAAATGTATTAAAACTTTATGGATTTATCTATATTTATGTTATTTTTGCTATTTTTGTTATCATTTATTATGTTATGTTTTATTCGTGTTATTGGCTTATCCAGACACGACACACAAACATGATAATAAAATAGATTGAAAGGTTTTGTTTATTTAAAACCAAAATATCCAAACTATATTTTTGAGAATAAAAATGTTTCCATGTTCAGTTCACGAGGAACCAATATCCCAATTATCAAAAACCTAAGTAAGTTGCCAGAATGATTGATTATCTAGAATTCAATGTAGGATGTCTGTAGTAGACACATAAACTGTTGATATTATTAAAGACGACCCTTTAGAGGAGTTCTTTTATCAGTTATATTGTCACGCTCTTAACACTCGGACTCTTAGAATTTTGAAACTACTTGAACTCCCAGAGCCGTCATTTTGACTGCTCCCATTAAAACCAATGGAAATCCGAACAATTATTCCATTGATTACTTACTTAAAACTAAGTAGTCTATATGTTTTGTTATGCTAAGAGCTGAGACTGGTGAATATAACTTGAAATAGAAAAAATAAATTGTGCTAAATGCTAATGCCATAGACCAAACGCTAGCTGCAGATGTGTGTTGCCATGGTAACTGCTCACATTTGAAAAAAAACCAAATGATTTCATAAAAACAATGACGCAGATATAAAGTATATATCGAAACAGTCGCACATTTAGGAAGATCCAAAAGCTGCACACATCGAGTAGTTACACTTCCAAAACTAAAACCCGTCAAATTGACTGCTCCTAGTGTTACACCACATGAATGGCCTCTCACCAGGTGCAGCATGTCTCCTTCGATCCAATGCGTCCAGCCGCGGTTTTCCTTCTCTCCTTTCTGGACACAGACCAGCTTGTCCCCGTCCCAGGTGACCAGAGACTGAGGACACATCACACATGGTACAGGCTTTGATGGTTCAAGTAACATTATTAATACGATGTGTTTGATAATCTATGATCTGCAAGAGTCAGAGTCAATAAAATGTCTATTTCTGATGTTAGCCAGTGTTGAAAGGCTTTGTAGACCTGGGACAGTACACAAATATATTACACTGTAAAGAATTTCCTTGTAGAAAAACAGTAAATTGCTGGCAAATATGGTTCCAGGAATTTAACGTTTTCTCAACATGGCATTACCGTTGCTAATTTTAACGGTTAAAGACTGTTTCACTGAATCACATTATGCCTTTGTGATTTCAGGATTTAACTGTATGTTCCTGTTAATTCACATACAACAAAAAAAGCATTATAATGTTCATTTTGTATTATTGCACCATATGACTGTTTTTGTATTCTAGATAGTTTCATTGAACAAAAAACTACACAGCTTGATTTTGTTTTCCTTTAATGGACCCTACTTTTCAAATATCTCTTCATCATCTTCAGTTAAACAAGAAAGTAGTTGAAATCTTTACTTCTATAACATACTTAATTCAAAAGTATCACTGCAACAAAAGCAGGAGTTTACATTTGTAAGAGGTACCTTTTACACTCATGGTTGCTCGCTAGCAAAAATGTCCCAGCATTCCAAAAATACAACAAGTTTATGTTACATTACGGTAATACTACCATAAAATCACAATGTGATTACTAATCACATTGTGATTTTATGGTATTGTAACTTTTTTTGTAATCACATTATAATTGTGGTAATAAAACGCCACTGGATGTTTTTTAACCAATTTATACTTAAATGTGCATGTTTGAATTGTTTTTCAAAATAAAATTTGTTTAATGTTGAAATTTCATTGTAATTTTACAGAAATGTGTTACAGTGTACTTATCTACCTATCCAGGGTCACCCATAAAGTTTATCCTGGACCCTAACCCTAACCCCAACCCTAACCCTAACCCATACAAGTTGATTCCGGACCCTAACCCTTACCCTTAACCACAAACCCTCGCCCTATTCTTAACCCTAACCCAAACCCTCACCCTACTCTCAATTCTAAACCTAACCCCCAACCCATACAAGGTGATCCTGGACCTTAAACCTAACCCATAACCCCAACCCCTAACCCTATTCTCCCCTAACCCTTACTCCTGACCTTCACCCTACTCTCGATCCTAACCCTAACCCATAAAGTTTATCCTGGACCCTAACCCTAATCCCAACCCCAACCCCTAAACCTGACCCAATTCTTACCCCTAACACATACAAGGTGATACTAGACCTTAGACTTAACCCCTAACCAAACCCTAACCCTAACCCTATTCTTAACCTTGACCCTCACCCCCTAACCTTCACCCTACTCTTCATCCTAACCCTAACCCATACAAATTGATTCCGGCCCCCAACCCCTAACCCTCACCCTACTCTCAATCCTAACCCTAACCCCATTCCTAACCCATACAAATTGATTCTGGACCCTATACTTAACCCTATTCTAAGCCTAACCCAATAAAACTATGACCCAAACCACTTTGAAACTGATCCTGGCCTGTTGTAATAACTTGGTGATAATACGGCCTGAGAATCACAACAATAGGAAAGGTCGGCGTGTTGTTTGGACCGTGTAAGCGTTTCAACACGGAGAAGATAGGAACGTGTCATTAATGAAACAGTCTTCGAAAGCTGCAGAGAATCACACGGATCAGACTATGGAAGCTTATCATCCACGTGACATCCAGCAATAAAAACATTATCAAATATATTTTTACGAGGAGAACTTTATGAAGGTGTTCTTGTCACAACCCCTGGTGTGACTTTGTGTAGTAAAAACATACACATTTAACACATTGGAGCTGACGTGATATTGGTCGTTACAATACTTCCAGTTTATCCAGAAAAACTTAGCATCAACCTGAGTTTTCGCTCCGTCTCTTCCCGTTGCACACTTTAACCTTCTGCTCTCCTTTTCTTGTAAACATTCACTCTCTTTTGATTGATTGCAAGAACTCAATTGTTGCTGAAAAAGATTTGCGATCCATGCAAAGAGAAACGGAAACTTAACACGGACCCAGACTTCGTCGCTGAAGTTAGTGTTAGCGCCACCAGCTGGACCGGAGGTCATCTAGCCTCGTTTGTTTGTTTGTCTGAAATCTTTGGAATTTGAGGACAGTTTAAGAAGCATTCTGTCTCTCTTATATCATCATGATATGAGAGAGACAGAATACACTAATTTTAAAGATGAAAAATGTAGGGAAACCTCTGTGGAAAGCCAAGTCGCTGTTGTCAAAGTGAATCTCTTTGGGTAAATTCTGTATGAACGGTGCTAAACAAATACATTAATGATTGATTGACAGTGTCCTGGATCCTAAAGCTTCACATTCCGTTCTCACCATGACTTTCCGGTTGTCCAGGCCCTTGGTTTGCTCTTCGAACTCCACTCCCACAGTGAAATTCACTTCATAGTTCCTGAAGGTGCTGAGGGTCTTGGTCTCAAACTTGTCCCCGTTCTGGACGATGACTTTGCTCTGGTGCAGATGGGCCGCAATCTTTCTCGTGGCAAAGTCGATGTCTGACGGTGACAGAGCAAAAGGGAGAGAAGGGAAGGAGTTTAGAACATCCTCTGTGGTTTTATAGTTGTGCGTTGGCCTTGAAATGATTTGATTATGTCCCAGGGTAAATTAACCCAGAAATATTACATTACACTGCAAAAATTATATGAGTGAATATTTTTTATTTTCATAATTCTGCTAATAGAAATTCCATCTATCTATAGTTCTGTAGTATCAACAAACGTAAATCCAAAATCTCCAAGAGAGCCACTCTATATGGGAGTATTTTCTACTTCCGGGTGGATCAGCCAGACTATTGGTCCTCCCAACTGTCAATCCTTTTGGTGATACCTCCAATAAGAGCAGAGAGTTTTGTTCAAAAAGCCGAGAGGGCGGAAAATCCTCCTTTAAACCTTTAAGTCCACACTTATCCAGAGTTTTTACAGATTCAGGAAGGTCTAGGGACAGAGATGATCCAGGACTCTCCACATTTATGGATTTAACTAACATTTATGGACTTTGGTCTCTGCTCCTCATGGTCCAATGGCTCTATGTGTTCATCATCAGCGCATTTCATGAGTTAGAACTGTCTGATTTTCTGATCTGTTGTTTGCAAATCAACAGCTTTCTAAAGTTCTCCGACAGTTGGGATTTAGGCCTATACAAAAATAAATGTATGCATTTATTGAATCATTTCGAGCAGATCACATGAAAAAAATAATAACAAATGTAACAGCTGTACATAAGTACAGGAATTAGAAAAGATTGGGCTGGAAAAGAATTGGGAAGAAGAAAACGTATTGAATCCCACTCCTATTGTCCATTGCTACGTTACAATATTTAACTATGTGACAATACATCACATATTACAACTACATTTCAAATAATTGTCGTCTTGTCACACACATGAAAAGGAGCAGAAAGAAGAAACGTTTGTTTATTTTACCCCTTTCTTAAAACATTTACAAATCAAATGTATAACATTAAATATTATACAAATTAACTTACAACATACTTGAGATGGACTTCAGCTCTCCTCCTTCAAAGTGTTTTTTTTCATCTATTTGCTTTCTAAATTAAAGAACTAAAACAAATGTATATGTCACTTTGAATTGCCCTCAGCATGACTTGTGCCATACAAAAAAACTGACCTCTTCCCTCACAGCCACAGACAGTGCCTTCATAACCATCTCTATCTTTTGAATTATATATAACATTCTATATATCTGTATTTTCTCTCCCTTCCCTTTCTTCCCCGGACGCTGCTCTAATACATTCCTCTCTGATGTTGTGACAGTGAAAATGTCCTTTTATAATCGACCTTGCTGTGAGTCAGAGCAGGTTTAAATGAGCTCGTCACATGACCCACCCACACCCCCCATTTTGATATTCACATCCTATTTGCCCTTAAGTAAGAATTCAATTTTCTCCCTTTCGCTCTTTCAGATGCGGTGCCTATATTTACCGTCTAAACGATGGGTTGAGCCATTTCCATAAGGATGTGATTCCTGAGCCTCCGGAGCCACACAGACCACGGCACAAAACACTATCAAGGATGAATCATGAATTGCAGATGGACTTGTGAATTATGGAAAGGTTTCAGATGAAAGAAAATGTCAAATGGATACAGTAACATTTTTTCTTCTTTATGATGACAAATCTAACCGTGGCAAAACCGGTCGACTTCAAAACGCAAAGAAATCACACGTTAATTAGTGATTGGTTGTTGCATAATTACACAGACTTTGCACAGATAGATTTAGTTTAGTTTATTGGTTTTAATTAGTGCTTTTTATAACGCTCAAAGTCTCTTCACATCATTATTCTTTCTCTCCAAACACGGTGGTGATAAACTACTACTGTAGCCACAGCTGCCCTGGGGCACACTGACAGAAGCGAGGCAACCAGTCTGTGCCATCGGCCCCTCCCACCACCACCAACCATTCACACACACACCAGACTCATTCTAATGTGGGTGAAGTGTCTTGCCTAAGGACACAACAGCAGTTTGGCACTTTACAGCCGCAGCCGCCCCACTGTGGCACCTGATGTTCCCAGAGGCCTCCCATCACAGTACTAACCAGGCCCACACAGGTCTGGCTTTCACACACAGGTATGGCCCACATTTAAATAAAAACACTTATGGACAACATCTATGTTTACAATTTCCAAACAAAAGATCCAATCAGAGAATGGAGCTCTCGTTTGGGTTGCCAGTTTGGGAAGTATTTATGCCAATTTGGTCCTTTGCATTTGACCCATTGCTGGGTCTGGTCTCTCTCTCTGGTGTCTCTCTGGTCCCTCTCTAGTCTCTCTCTGGTCTCTCTCTGGTCTCTCTCTGGTCTCTCTCTGGTCTCTCTCTGGTCTATATCTCTGGTCTCTCTCTGGTCTCTCTCTGGTCTCTCTCTGGTCTCTCTCTGGTCGCTCTCAGGTCTCTCTCTGGTCGCTCTCAGGTCTCTCTCAGGTCTCTCTCTGGTCTCTCTCTGGTCTCTCTCTGGTCGCTCTCAGGTCTCTCTCAGGTCTCTCTCTGGTCTCTCTCTGGTCTCTCTCTGGTCTCTCTCTGGTCTCTCTGGTCTCTGTTCTCTCTGGTCTCTCTCTGGTCTCTCTGGTCTCTCTGGTCTCTCGCTGGTCTCTCTCTGGTCTCTTTCTGGTCTCTCTGGTCTCTCTCTGGTCTCTAGTATAGTAATGAAATGGTAAGTTATTCAATATAAAGATGAGAAAATCTCAGGCAACTTTGGCAGAACTTAGAGAACTTTCCATCCATCTTCTTCTCCTTTAATTCATTTTCTTCTCACTCAAATATAAAAATATAAATCTAACCCTAAACTCACCGAGGCCTTTCATGACTTCTTCAAAGTTGTCGTTTTTCACCATCTCCCAGCGTCCATTGTAATCTGCCGTCATCCTGAGCTGTAGGAGTCAGACCGAGAGAGAAGGCCAGACCCTGTGCCCGCCCGCTTTATACACTCCTGTGTGTGTGTGTGTGTGTGTATGCGTGTGTGTGTGTGTGTGTGTGTGTGTGTGTTTGTGTGTGTGTGTGTGTGTTTGTGTATGTGTGTTTGTGTGTGTGTGTGTGTGTGTGTGTGTGCGTTCTGAGCAAAGGACAGGGTTGATTGTGTTATCAAGTTCACTCTGGTGTTTGCACATTGACTGTATCCTCAGGTCTTTGTCAAAGTTGAGAAGAGTTTGTGTCAGATTTTACAGTTCGAATCAGAGGTGACAGTTTAGTGGATTAACTGTTGTAGTAGTTGTTGTGTAAATGTAGGATTTGTGAATAAAGTACAATGTTTGGTGAAAGTCACAAGACTGAGAACAGCTGTGTTCTTGTGTAGCCCTAAATCACAGAGGACTTTATATAAAAACATTGAGTTTTATGCACCAGAGACATAACACAGTGGGACCATTTCCAGTAAAATAAAATACTAATAAATATTGAATTACTAAATAAAATGCAATTGCAATTGGATCTATTGCCTGTCAGTCACTGTTTCTTTTTTTTTCTCTCTCTCTGGTTTCTCTCTGGTCTCTCTCTCTCTCTCTCTCTCTCTGGTCTCTCTCTGGTCTCTCTCTCTCTCTCTCTCTCTGGTCTCTCTCTGGTCGCTCTCTCTCTATCTCTGGTCTCTCTCTGGTTGCTCTCTCTCTCTCTCTCTCTATCTCTGGTCTCTCTCTGGTTGCTCTCTCTCTCTATCTCTGGTCTCTCTCTGGTTGCTCTCTCTCTCTCTCTCTCTCTCTCTCTCTCTCTCTCTCTGGTCTCTCTCTGGTCGCTCTCTCTCTCTCTCTCTCTCTCTCTGGTCGCTCTCTCTCTCTCACACACATCTCTCTTTTGTGTCTTAAAGAGAAGAATAAGGCTAGGAGCTGATTATGTAAACATATGGTGCTAAGATGCTAATGCTGCTAATGTTTCTAATGCTACTATTCATTCATTACACAGACATAGAGAGTGGGAAACATAAATATATTTTATTGTATTTTCTATCACAACTTTATGTATTTTTAATTTAACGTTTACTTTTGAATGCTCTGGAAACAGCAGCGAGTTGTAGTGTCTCTGAAACATTTGTTTTGTGTTTTATAAATGTTATTTTTCTTGTTTGTTCCTGCCTAAGATGATGTTTCTCTCTGTGTGAAAGTTCTGCAGCCGCGATGTTCAAAGTTTGTGGCTGTGTCAGGATTTATCTGAGCTGATAAGTCGTCCTCTGAACTTTGGAAACCTCTCCTTTAAAATGTTATAATCTGATCTACAGCACGTTTAGCCTCTCCTTTAAAATGTTGGATTATAATCTATACTACCACACGTTTAGAAATAATCCATACTACATTTCACTAATCTATACTAATTCAGAGTATTTTTGTTTGTCACAAAATGGAACAGAGGAGGACCTGAAAAAAAATGAGGATCAAACATGAACATCATGAGGGTCATACATGAACATCATGAGGATCATAGATGAACATCATGAGGATCATACATGAACATCATGAGGATCATACATGAACATCATGAGGGTTATACATGAACATCATGAGGGTTATACATGAACATCATGAGGGTCATATATGAACATCATGAGGATCATACATGAGGATCATACATGATCATGAGGATCATACATGAACATCATGAGGGTCATACATGAACATCATGAGGATCATACATGAACATCATACTCATATGGCGGAAATTTACTGCAAATTATGGAAGACACAATGTGTAACTTTATAGGACAAAATCTACAGTAATCATGATCTCACTATTAGCTAATCCTTAATTAATCATGATTTTATGATGATTGTGTCCCCTTCACTTAAGTGAAGCAATGATTTATGGTTATGATATTTTACAAACTATTACACGTACAGCAAAACCAAATAAGAGCTCCAGAGCTGGACCTGAAGTAACAAAAGTGTTTTTGTTGAGCAACAAAAAGGAACAATCCATAAATCATTGCTTCACTTTAGTTCCGGATGTGATTGATATTTGTAGGAAATGTCCTTTTTGATAAAAATCTGCTCTGAGGGTCATGTGAGTTTCTGTCCCAGTTTGATATAAATATTTGTTTAGACAAAATGTGTTGAACTCAAACTCTGTGGAGGTCAGGGACGTGTCCGCGGTGTCCCAGAATGAAACTTTTGTGGTTCTTTTTGTTTTCAGCAGAAACATGAGGTTTCATTTAACTTTCTTACTGTATATATTTAAACATGATGGATCCATGAGACAAAAGAACAAAGACACTTCAGAAAAGCATTTATCACATATTCATGACTTTCTCTCTCACTGATATTTACAATCTCACACTACTGTCCTGTCTGTGCGCTGCAACATTGACATTTCCCCACTATCTAATCTTGTCAACAAATATTTCTCCATATTATCCACCCCTTCAGTTTCCACTTTATCCATTGCTCTTGGAGGGACCTCCCTCTCCAATATTACTACATCATCAAATGCTGTCTTCTTAAACTGTGTAAATAAATACAACATTTGTAAATAAAACTCATTTATGAGTAAAAAAATATTTATGTGGTGCTCCACTATAAAAGTCCTCTGCTTGAACACTTTTGCACTAACAATGGCATTTTCAGTTCCAGCTGCCGCCACAGGAGGGCGATGATGCCACAGTAATAAGTAGGTTTTGCATTTGCCTGCGCTATAACAGTGCCATTCAGTTAAAATGCCTTTCTCTAACAGGCTAACAAGCTAACAATATAACTGGCTAACAGGCTGACAGACCAACATGCTAACAGGCTAACAGTCAGACAGACATGTAGTAAAGGTATTTCAGAATAATCCAGGCATTGAAACATCAAACACAGATGAAAGAGTTGTTTTGGGAGCATGAGGCAGAGATGAGAGCGATGCCACCTACAGCCCCTGAGCGCCTCATAAACGAATGCAAATGCAATTAGGAGGGTGTTAATAATGCAGCGAGGCAAACTGAATATTTATCCTGCCTCCTGCACCTTCTGACACCAGCGGCTGCAGCCTCAGCTCTGGTTCTGACGCTACATGGTCCTGAATCAGACTCTCTTTTCTCTTTTTCTTGACAATATTTGGTCTCGTTACTGTTACGACTGTAGCTGTGACTCGCTGTACTGTGGTCTGGACCTGAGAGAGAGCACATCACCCCTGTGCCGGTTTCACTTCACTGACTCCCGCTCACATTCAGGCTTTATGTTTTAATGGTTTAACTCCTGTGTATCTGATAGAGTGCTATCCACTCAGCCACTCAGCTGAGTGGATAGCACTCTCGCCTCTCAGCAAGAAGGTCCTGGGTTCGAATCCCGGCCGGACCAGGGCCTTTCTGAGTGGAGTTTGCATGTTCTCCTTGTGTCTGCGTAGGTTTCCTCCGGGTACTCCGGTTTCCCCTACCACTAAAAATATGTACAATAGGTCTGGCATGCGCCTCCTGTTCGGCGACCCCGCTCCCATCTCTGTGTGGAGTGAGAGACAAATGCCCAAAAAATAACAATTGTAAACCGCTTTGTGACTCTGGTCTGTGAAAGGCGGTATATAAATAAAGATTACTTACTTACTTACTTACTTAGAGGTGTAATGTCTGTATTGTAGTGTCTCTCTGGTATCTCTCTAGTCTTTCTCTGGTCCCTCTCTCTGTTCTCTCTCTGGTCCCTATCTAGTCTCTCTCTGGTCTCTCACTCTCTCTCTCTCCGGTCTCTCTCTGGTCTCTCTCTGGTCACTTTCTGGTCTCTCTCTGGTCTCTCACTAGTCTCCCTCTGGTCTCTCTCTGGTCTCTCTCTCTGGTCTCTCTCTGGTCTCTCACTAGTCTCTCTCTTTAGTGTCATACATTAAAAATCCAAACCCAGTCCCCAGTAGACCTCATAAGACCAGGTGTGGACCTCAGACATGACCTTGGGCCCTGGTCCAGACCAACACAGTTCGATCTGTTCAGTATACAAAGAATTTGGAATAATGACTCGTCTGAATAATTGTGAAAATATGTTAATTGTATTTTTGACTAATTTTGGTCCCGGTGCCATCTGCTCACTGTGGGGACACTGTCTGTGTGTGTTTGGCAAAAAACATCTAAATCAAGTGGTTTGGGGATTTTTTTAGCTTCAGTTTTAGACAAGTTTAGTTGAATAACACATTTTATACATAAGGAAAGTCTAATGAACAAACCAGAGAGAATTAATCACAGAAGGAATTAAGTGCCCTGTGCTCCTCAGAGTCCCAGCTGGAGGCCAGTCCCTGTGCTCCTCAGTCCCAGCAGGAGGCCAGTCCCTGTGCTCCTCAGTCCCAGCAGGAGGCCAGTCCCTGTGCTCCTCAGAGTCCCAGCAGGAGGCCAGTCCCTGTGCTCCTCAGAGTCCCAGCAGGAGGCCAGTCCCTGTGCTTCTCAGAGTTGGCCTATACTGTATGACACTAACATGTCACTAATGTATTTTGGTTCGAGGCCATGGACAGAGCTGCTTTAAAGTCTATTCTCTGAGCCACAGGAAGCAGAGACCTGAGACCAGGACTAATGTGATGGTACTTCCTGGATCTATTCTGGACTAATGTGATCATACTTCCTGGTTCTAGTCAGGACTAATGTAATGGTACTTCCTGGATCTATTCTGGACTAATGTGATCATACTACCTGGTTCTAGTCAGGACTAATGTGATGGTACTTCCTGGTTGTAGTCAGAACTAATGTGATGGTACTTCCTGGTTCTAGTCAGGACTCATGTGATGGTACTTCCTGGTTCTAGTCAGGACTAATTAGATGGTACTTCCTGGTTCTAGTCAGGACTAAATAGATTGCACTTCCTGGTTCTAGTCAGGACTAATTAGATGGTACTTCCTGGTTCTAGTCAGGACTAATTAGATGGTACTTCCTGGTTCTAGTTAGGACTAATTAGATGGTACTTCCTGATTCTAGTCAGGACTTGAGCTGCAGTGTTTTGAA